GCAGCACGGGTATCAGCAGCAGCCCGAATATCAAGATATGCATCGAAGGCAGCGCGAAAGAGAGCAGGGAAGTTGGAGTTGCAGTGGACCGCGTGCATGTCACATAAGGCCCGACAGAATGCCTGGATTCCAAGACGTGGGCAGCGAAGGGAAAGAGAGCGATACATTTCAAGGGCACGAACTGTGACAACAGTGTTGATGGTTTGAACTGTACAGGGAAAGAGACCCATCCGCACGTAGCATGCAGCCAGAGTCATTCCAATGCTTGGGACTTTGAGATGAGCCATCCGTGTTCCTTAAAAGAAACGTGAGAGAGAATGAATGGGACCTTGATCAGGACATACCAAAGAGGTCCACTACATGAACTTGTGTGGTTGCAGAACCACCAATTGAGGTCCATTGTTGCTCCCATGGGGCCTTAGCACATGCAGGATCAGCCCTCCAATCCAAATAGGCATCTGTCATGCGATTTCTTTCGCGCCGGAAGCCATCAACCAGCCTTTGGATTCGATCACTGCGGTCTCGGGTTTCTGAGCTCCTAGTAACAGTATTCAGTGTACTGGTTGACCGACGCGTCAGCGATATATGCCACATCAGTGTATACCATCAACGTGTCAGTATCACACGTGTCAGTGATACACACATCAGTGATACGCTGACGCATCAGTAACATGACATACCTTAGAGTGCTCATCATATCGTCCATCAACCTGCGCCCCTCTTCTTGCTGTGCCTCTCTCTGACGAGCCTCATCCTCCATGATTTGATCCATCGCAAATTCAATCTGGTCAAAGCTAGGACCAGCATCCGGATCCTCATCATCATCTGAGAAAGCACCACTACGACATGCTTCCTCATAATCTCTCTGGGCCTGTGCTGAGAGGAGGGTATTTCAGCAGTATCCTTGAAGGAAGTACTATTACCACACCTGCATATGCTGCCTCTTCTGCTGCTTTGGCCCGCTCTTGTGCTTTGCGACTGTTCTCAGCAATCTGGGTGATTGATTGGATTGGGGGGAGAACAGTTGACAGCCCTCCATCTCGCTTGTGTCTCTTCCCTCCCCCTTTTCTTGGTGCCCGCTCTTGACCATTGAAGTTACGAGAGGCACTGGATAGTGTATTGGAGAAGTTCACTGGCATGGTGGTGAGATGACAAGCTTGATGATCATGAGATTTGACATCTGACATGGATGTCAGCCAACTTGATAAAATCCCTGATTCATATGAAATCTCTGACGCGCTTGATATCACTGACACCAAGAAATGCTGATGCATCAGTGATTGTAAATATTGACAAGAATTTCATGTTCTACCCATCCCTAATATTCACCCCACCCTTGACCATGGCCACCCCATGGATTCCCAGACCTTGTCCGTACATTTTGAGAAATAGATAAGACTTGGTCCTTCAAGAAAGCAAGAGCATCATCAAGTGAGCTTGCCTCAGAAAAACCAGTGAAAAGGCCTGCAAGCTTGAGATCATATGCAGCACACTGTGCAAGGTTCCTTGTTCTTAGTCAATGATATGTCTGCAGATTAAGGGGACACACTGACCTATCATTGAGGATGCGCACCTCATTCTTGCCTGAAACCACCCAGAGAGAAGCTGGATGGATTGGCTCTGCAACAGGCAAATGTTCCTTGACTGTGGGTGCTAGTTGCCTGGTGCCAGCCTGGGGGGATGCAGGTGGGGTTGTTGTTCCACTAAGTGTGGGTTGAGGCAAAGGGTAGACTCTGGGTGGAGCTGATCCTTTGATGGCCATGAGCTCGAGCAGAGGGGGAGGGATAGGACCAGGGTGCTTCTCTCTAAAGATTGCCTGTGCCACCTCAGAGATAGCAGTGTAGTGGTCACATGAAAAGGGAATGCTTGTCTGAGATCCCCAAGCAGCCAAGGCCTCCTCACTTGAATAGATAGTATCAGTAACAAGAGAGAGTAAAGCAACAATAGCGCACAACGAGGTATAGACCCCCGCCTGCGGCCCCTTTGAAACCTTGAACCAAACAGATGGTGACTTTAAAACATTGTGTGTCCTGTTTTCGTAGACATCCTCCCAGATATCAGAGTATAAGTGGAGAAGATCTTGATCGGTGGGAGCGTTCATGAGTGCTTCAGATGAGCTGTCACGCATTCTTCATGTGTCGTGTATCACTGATCTACCTAACGATCACTTACGCAAAACAGCAGATTCCCTGACGCATCAGACTACTGACGCAACTGATTTCACCTGACGCCCAATCACTTATGCAGCTCTGGCGCTCGACACTTGGGGTCTAAAAGAGATGCATCACGGACTTGCCTTTCTGAGAAGGAAGCTGATGGTGCACGACAGGTGTTGTAGATCGTACTCGCTAAAGGCTAGTTAGCCATTACCATGACCCCCTTGGCAACAGCTAACTAGCTGTAGTATTGGGGTAGTGTAGGTGAGTCTGGTTAACACGACTCCACCTGCTGTCAATGGGGGCGTCAAACGCAAGCGCGAGGAACTTCTTGAAGATGAAGGCGGGGATTTGGAGTCGATGCGCTACGCTCCTCGGCCACGCACGGGTCAACATGGCTGGGGCTCGTGGCGCCGCCCTTTCTGGAGCTGTCGCGGTGAGTCTCCGAGCCCACTCATGCCATTACTGGTTCACCAACTGTTTTTGCAGAGCGCACTGAGCGCCACCCGCGGTTCTTTGGTGAGAAGAACATCGTGCTCCGTGTCGGGTCCATGGTCTACGAAGTCGGTCTCGCTCTTTCAGGTCAGACTGGTGGCTTGAATTCGTTATAGGTACCCCAACACATACTCGCTCCTGATTACGAAACAACGACTTTTTCGAGGAGATTGAATGAACCAGCGACAGAGGATAGCCCGCTTGTACTGAGTCCCGAAGACGCCTGCGGGCTGGACGCATTTCTGGAATTGGAGTATGACAAGTAAGTCGCCGTCACTCTCTGCCAGTGTGGCAGTGTTCCCAGTTGACAACTTGGTCACAGACGCAAATGCGATAACAAGCGAACCCCTGCGGATCTCGAGACATTCATGCAAGCATACAAATTCGCCCACACCCACCAAATCCAGAACAGGGTCAGCTGGACTCCCGAAATCATGCACCACATTCTCCTTGGGCATCCCTCCAAAAAAGCCCGCCGACGCTCTCCCACACGACCAGTTCCCGCCACAGCTTTGCGTCAAACTACTCCGCTTCCTTCAAGGTATCCAGCTCTTCAACGAATTTGGCGTTCAGAAACAACTCGAGCGCCGCCTCGAGGCAACACTAGTCGACTACGTGGCAGACGACACCATTTCGCTGCCCCGGGCAGTCGAAATGGCGGAGTCCAATGACTTTCAACGGCTGCTGGGGGAGGTCTACTATGTCACCCTCTGCAAGCTCATCAAGACCCAGCCCGCGGATACGCTATTAACCCCCATAAGATTCAACGCTGACGGTCTCGACGCCACCCACGAGCGCAGACTGCGCGATGGCCACTTCTCGCTAACTACTTGTGCTCAACGTCTAGCGCAGGAGTTGCGCGAGCACAGCTGCCCGCCGCGTTATGCCAATGCCCCGGTCGCACGATGCCGGTGTCTTTTGGGCAGCCAAGAGTGGCTAGCCAGGTTGCTCAGCTTCGGCCCAGACCTCCGTGCTTTCCTCAATTGGGCAGAGAAGAACGGCGCCAACGCGCCGCGGGAGTGCGTAGAAATGTTGAAGAAGCTGCGCGAGGAGCTGGATTGCACACTTTGTTTCGGATTTACCTTCAACTTGAAGTTTTCGATTCCAAACTCTCGGATCACTGTATTACTATCAGTATTAGTTGCCAGGAACTGTACAATAGACATGAATGCGTGGTGTGGACTCGTGGTAGGCTACGACGCAAGGGATTGAACAAGGGAGAAACAGGTGCATCTTCAATGGGGACTCGCGATCGGAAACCAACCCAACGCAGATTTAAGCGCTAAGCTTATGTCGACGACATCGATGTAGTCTTCGCCCAGGATTGATAAGTAGTAAAGTACCATCCCAGTCATATGGACAGCTACGATGTAATGAGTCTACAACAGCCTCAGATATCAGTATAAGAAGTATCACATCGTAAACATGCGTTGTTTTGATCATGACTGCTCTCAGTTTTCAGGCACCAATGGAAAGCCTGAGGGCATGAGCTCTTGTAGGTGTCCGAGGGCGTGTTCGTTGCGGTACACGAACCGAGAAAATCAGATGAAGCGCTGCAAGCCTGGTTAGCACAAGCACAAACCAAGCCCCGAATAACGCACATTCCCTCCCATTTAAGTAATCTTTATGCCCCTGCCTTCTCCCACTACCACGTTGCGTGACGCTCCTGCTTTCGAGCATTAATGGTCATAGGTGGAACCATTAAAGAATGGGTCTTGACTCTTCAGTCTCGCATCGCCAGCATAACGCGGGAGGCTATAGCTCGTCAGTGCCAGGGCAAATAGGGAGCACATCTACGCACCGCATCTCCATGTGTTGCTCAGGTTTCGTTCTCCTACTTTTTCGGCGAGGTCAAGCTGCAAATGCGGCAAGCGACTAATCAGCACAAGCACGAGGGTAAGCAGGATAACGAACATTCTCTGCCGGTCCCTCGTTGGCTATCCTTTCCGGTCTCCAACGACCCACTCGTTCTTTGTCGACACCTCAATTTACTCCATTGAAGTCGGGACGCTATCGGGTCAGGTGAGCAGGGGAAAATGGATGGCCTAGAGTGTGGGAGGACAAGTGAACCAGTCTTTGCTTATGCGGAGAAAGAGCCGCGCAGAGTAAGCAACGGATGCACAAGTCTGAGGCGCAGTCGGTAGTATGGGTCTATAATGCTTGTGGTTGCCTTGAGGTCAAGTCGTACTGTCGTAGTGCGGAAGAGAAAGTGTCACACCCGGGCCTTTCACCTTTGCATTCCTCCCGCAACATGTCAATGCCTCCGCGCCGGAGCGTCTATCTGAGGCAGAACTGCCAGCCGACTGTCCGCAGATGCTGTTTCCTCTGGCGCTGACCGCGACCCGCGCAATGGCTCAACCCAACGAATGCAACGACATCCACAACTGTCGCCTGCTTTTCGACATCGTCTGGGGCTGCCTCGCCACCATCTTCTTGTGCATCTGGGTCTCCGTCCACCCAAACGTGCCCCCCTCCAAGCGCCAAACGACCCTCCGCGACTGCTAGCCTCCGAGACAGAGCAGCGTGGTGGCTCGCTGAATGTAATCGCACATTGTCGCAGCGACTAAAGCTGATGGCCGTGGCCCTCGTTGCGCCAGAGCTCATTGTCGGCTTCGCGGCAAAGCAGCTCATCATCGCGCGTCTCTTTTCTCGAGGTGAGTTTGCAGCATTCAAATGTCTTTTGTGTGTGTTAGACGGTGACTTCACCGCCAGAATACGACATGTCGCTTACTCACGGGTTTTTCCTCGTTATGGGCGGCTTCTCTGATGCCGACGGCCATCCCATCGTTACCAGAAGCCAGCTCTCAGTGGCAAATGTGGTGGAAGGAATTCGAGCCATCGACGTGGAGAAGATTGAGGAGAAGAGCAAAGGGGACCTGTTGTCGAAAACCATCACTCTTTGCCAAGCAAGCTGGTTCATTGTGCAATGCATCGCACGAAGAGCCCAGAGTCTTCCACTGACCGAGCTTGAAGTTGCGACGCTGGCATTCTCCACAGTCAATGCATTGACGTGGCTGCTCTGGCTTTGGAAGCCACTCGACGTTCAGAGCCCAATCGGACTCACAGTGCAGACAAAACCCCAGGGCCATGTTGGGGACAGACCCTACCCCTTCGGGACCACGTGGCTTATCCGATTCGGCTGCATGTTGACTGGTATCTTTGTCGCTGACGACTACGATCCTTTCTCGAACTCTTCAGTGCCAACATTCTGGTGTGCAGCCGAATCATTTGAAGATCACTTCTCCAACCAAACCGCCACGGCTGTGGTAATCCAGTTCCTGCTTGGGTCTGTGTTTGGTGGCATTCATTGCGCCGCATGGGCGCTGGTGTTCCCCTCTATGGTCGAAATGTGGCTGTGGCGCGCGTCTGCTTTGGTGATCACAGGACTGCCCATTATCTTCCTCGTTGTCGGAATGATCCCCGAGCGGGTGTACTTCATTCCTCTCAGCGCGTCATGGCCTACAGCTTTGGACATATTCGCGGTCTCTATGATCCTCTTTTATTCGGTTGCGCGAGGTATCCTACTCGTTCTGCCATTTACGACTCTGCGCTCTCTGCCCATCGCAGCCTTCGTAGATATCAATTGGAGCGTGTATATTCCTCACCTATGATCATAATGCACCTCCCCCAATCCAAGAGTCAAATTGGGCAACGTCGCAGCGGAGCAAAAACCGGGTTCAGGGTGCCAATTGTCCTCTCATTTATGCTAAGATCTATGGTATTACTGTGCGGGAGCCTGACCCAACAATGCTTCACAGAGTGTTGTGGGGGAGCGACTGGTAGGTCGTTGGCCTGCGGCACACACAGAGCGCTTATTTGGGAGGAAAAACGTCTGAAAAGGGCAGAGAAAATGGAGACGGAGAAAGTAGGTTTGAATGCCGTTGAGGGGGACATGAAAGAAGCAGAAGACACTTTACACACTCAGACAGCGTATAATCGAGCTCAAAACACGTGTGATTCACCACATACTACAGAGATTCATGGGCCTAAATACTGGTCGATTAATAAAAAGACGCCTGAGTATCGAGCGACTTACTCTATCCAGCCCACAAAATACCTCCCTGTTCTTCTCAGGCCAAATCATACGTGCGGAATGCAAGGGCACTCGGATTAGTTCGACAATGGAAAGGGTTTCCGTTTGACATTCTGCGGGCGGACTGATTGGAAAGGAATGAATGATTGGAAAGGAATGAAAGCGAAAGGCTGCAGACTAACTTGAGCACGAACACAGATAAAACATCAGATAACCCGCATTCCCTCCCATTTGATCTTTGTGTGTGTTCCCTTCTGCCATCGCCTTGCTGTCTGACGCTCCAAAAGAGTGGGCTCACGGTCCGACATGACCAGCAGAACGAGGCCATTAGCTGCACACACTAGTCAGCGCCAGGGTAAATAAGGAGCGCATCTAAGTTTACGCACCGCATCTCCAGGTCTTGCTTAGGTTTTGTTCTTGGACTTTGTGGGCAAAGAGGGAGGACAAGCTGCAAACGAGCGAATGGTCAGCGCAAACACAAAGGTAAGCAGGATAGCGCACATTCTAATTTCTATGCCATTCCTTGCTTGGCAATTCCTTTAATCTCCAACGGCTTGCTCATTTCTCTTCCGGAATTCGATTCATCGCACGAGTGTTACCCTAGCTCAGTTATCGGACCGTCGACGTTCTCCAATGGGGGCTTGAATCCCCTGGGGGTCAAAATCGCTTGAAGTGGTAAACGTATGATGATATCAAGAAGCAGCGGGCGAGTGCACGGCAAAGAGCCGCACAGAAAAGCTGAATAGCAGTAAGATAAGAGCGAGAAACGCTGAAGTAGACCAGAAGGAATACACACCTCGCTTCAGTGACTCTATCGTCACCGACAGGCGCCAAGCCGCTGCGCGTTTCCAGCGCTCCTCTTTGCGTAGAATATTTGGAGTTCGTTGGAGCCACCCATAAGCAGGGAAGGGAGAGCGTGCGACGAACGCCCAACACGGTTGGTGGTATGGTCAAGACGAAAGAGTGTGATGTGTGACATTCTTGAGTCTTGACTACAACAACGCCTGTGGAAGACGAGACATCTCGCCGCCATCCTTTTGGCTCCCGAAATACATCGAAGGACGTGTTGGAGCTCTCCTCTGCGCCTCTGTCTGCAGAAGTAACTGCGTTTTTACTTAGGTTCCAAATTGTACTAACAGTGCTAATACTAGTACACAAGGCACCTTTGCTCTGCGATTGTCACCACTGCGAGACGTCTTAAGTATTTATGTATGGATACTGCTACGCCAAAGCCTCCGCTGCGCTTTCGTTTCTTGCTGGATCTCGGCAACGCAATGAGCCCCTGGATTCGACTCGAAGTTCTCTCCGCGATGAAGCAGAACAAGTGAAGAAGACCATCGCAGAGCTTCAAATGCAACTATCAAAACTAGAAGATCGGCTCGAGGTGATCCAGGACACGCTCTCCACTGTCGTCTACCCAATCAACACGCTCCCGCCTGAACTGCTCAGCCAGATATTTACAGCGGCTGTGTCCGCCTCTCCGCGTGGCGATGTTAATTTCACGCTGCTGCAGATTACCGCAGTTTGTAGGCGATGGCATAGTGTTGCAATTGCGGACCCACGCTTGTGGACCAAGCTATCCTACTCCATCGACGGACTCGACAAGCGTGATTTGCTTTTTGAACGCTTCTTACGCCGTGCGCGAGGGCTACTGATCGATTTCTCTAGCGGGGGAGAAGACAATTGGAGTAGCCTCCCTCCCTGCCTATTTGATTCAGCTTCCCAGTGGCGCGAAGCATTTCTTGCGACCACACACTGGCCCGCGCTGTCGCCTGTCGACTGTCCACATTTGACCAGACTGACACTCAATATTGGGAGTTCTGTGCTCGAATCCGGTCTCCCCTTGGTGCTCGACGTACCTCATCTCCGCGAGCTGTCGATTAGCATCCCAAACTTGGTCAGACAACTTACACTTCCGGCCCACCAGCTGCGCAAGCTGACGATCACCGGGACAGCAACCCATGAGGAAATCGCGTTCATGCTTCTGCCCCTCGTCGCGCTGGAGGAGCTCGTGCTTGGCGAAATCTCCGATCCCGTGGACGCCCGCGATTTTCCCATTCGCATGCCACACTTGTCATCGCTATCGCTGCTGGGCATGGAGAGCTGTGTCATCCTCCAGAGTCTCGTCTCTCCCGCCTTGACGACGCTGCACCTAGGCGACTTCGATTGCACCGATGTCGGCGAGCAATTGCACCCCTTTCTCCGCGACTCTCCTGCACGAATAACCACACTTGTAGTTTCCCCGCCGGACTACGCTGGCTTCGGCTTCCTGCTGTACCACCACGGGGAAAAGTTCACCTCAGTGACACACCTGAAGTGTACAGCGCCGGCGATAGAAATGGGCCACAACACACGGAACACCTGCACGGATATGCTTTCCCGCACCCGCAATCTTCCCAACCTCGGAAAATTCACCCTCGTCGTGCCTTCCGGCCCGGCACACATTGACCCGTTTGTCGACGGACTCGCCCGCCGGGCCGCTAATTTCGACAGCGCGGAGGAGGGGGAAATGAAGCTCACCGAACTGGTTGTTGAATTCACGCCGCATGATGGAGCAACTCTCGAACACTTGCGCGCCTTGAAGCGACTTCAAAAGAGCACCGCTATCCAGATTTCCGTGCCTGGCGGATGTCCGACAAGGAGCGCATGGAGCTCGTAGTTCAATTGCATTATGTCTACAGAGTCTTTCGATGTAATGCTCTCACTATCCGCAGATTACTAGTACTCACACAAGCAAGGTGTAATATGTACAACGGACGAACGAAAGCGTGCAAGCAGAACAGCAGTAACATCAAGTAAGACAACGAGAATGGCTGGTATTGTAGCAAAATATCAGTACAAGAGACAAACGAAAGAGGGCAAATAAAAGTACCATCCTAGAGTACAGAGTGAATGAAACGATCACGGCAAGAGTAAGATCCTAGATCGAATCAATCATCGTGAATAGGGCAGCAAAAAAAAAGATTGCGACTCACTCAAGGCAAAGCACTAGCGAGATGAAGAATTTCGCGCTCGTAGTCTTTGACGGTGGCCTCAAAGGACCACCAGTCCATGGTCCATCCTCGTTCTATGCGCCGCCAGCGTGGCATAGCGCTTCAAGCAACGACAGCCTCCTTACTCCACAATGATCCCGACAGGAACACGCCCAACGACGGCCTTCTGGCTCGCGTACATCCACCAAAAGAATTGTGTCGAAGTAAATTGGTGTGGTTCATCAAGGGATACACTTGCTCGAGCGACATCTGTCGCATTTGTCGAGAATTTTCGAAGCCCGTGGAAGGCACGCGGCACGTGACTTGGTATCTTGGGACGGAGCCTGACAAGTAGTAAATAGTCCCGGGAGGTGGAGGGTGGAGGAATTTGGAGAAGTTAGCGAGGAGGAATTTGTGGGGCTGTTTGGTCGTGGATGAGGGGATGTCCAGACGGTCTAGTTGCGTGCGCCAAGTCGAAAAGTACCTGTCTTTGCAGACAAGTGGGCGGGTATAAAGCAGCGGCACATGAAAATGAGCCCCACACGCCAAATTAGCGCTTGTCCATATTGACATAGTCCACTGTGGACCTTCAAATCATTTGAAGTCGTTGTCGTGGATTGCCTGGCACAAACACTTTAGACTCCATCTGCGAAAGTGCCGTTACGCACTTGTAGTATTTGTCTATAACCCCACTTCAAACCACCCAAACCGCCGTTTCCAAAGGTGAGCTGCGAAAGCCTGAGCCAGTCAGCAAGGTCAAAGGAAAGAGTGGAACAGACACACCAGATTGAGCGATAGCGATGAGCATGGGGTGCAACAGTTCAGAGAGAAGAAGGCGCGGGCATTGGGCAAGAGTCGTAAACTTTCGCTGGAGCTGTTTTAAGTCGGCTTTCTATGTAGCGGGTCAGCACGAATAGGAGGAATGAAGAAGAAGAGGAACGCTTATTGCCACTTTGTACTCGTAGTCCATCCGGCATTTCCTGACCGTTACAGCCGCGGCGAGATGGTCGGCGAGAGCAGGCAAAACAAGCCTCTTGGAGGACCTTTCCACCAGTGGCGGTGGCGATGAGCGAGAACAGTTATGTATGCGGCATGCTCGTTGTGGAGAAGAGCCTACGCGCTTAGCAGGACACGGAACTCTTGATAATCGTTGTGCCAAAGTTGCTGCGCGGGCTTATCCGGAGGGCGAAGGGAAGACGATGGGAAGCTCGAGTGAGTAATCAGAGTACTGAGCGCCGAAAGAGCTGGGACAACGCACCAATCCCCTCAAGCAACTCGCCATGTCTTCTACTCCTCCTTCTTCAACCCTTCTCTGCGGGAACTATGCTTTCCAGCAGCAGGTTACTTCTCTTCAACTCCATCGTAGGCGCGTTTTGAGCTGGAGGGAGGCCGGCTTGGTCGACGACATGAGAGTGCAGGGAAAGAACGGATGGTGGTGATGTCACACCAGATCCTGCTCTCGTTTCGCCAACGACAAAACACTGCTAACTTGTGTGCTGCTGGGATACGCCCTTCTCAAACAGCCATTGTCCCTTCAGAACTGGAAGCTGGATGCCGCCGGATGGAGGAAGGGTCAATCACCCACAATCGACGCCCATTACGCAGCATCTCTCCATGCTCCCTTCCGAAATCTGGCTGGAGATATTCAATCGGCTCCCTCTAGAGTCCATTCCGTCCATCTTTATGACCAATCGTACCTTTTCTGTGCTAGCGCGACCGTTGCGCTTCTCCCACTTTAACTTCATGCCGTTTACATCGTCGTTGCTGGAATACCACATACCGACCCCAGCCGAGCCAGAAAGGCTCGAGTTCTGGTGCTCCGAGCGCATTGCACCACTCGTCCGCTCCTGTCCAATCCGGCCTTGGCTACCATTCCCAATGCGCTTGAACAACGCCACAGAAGACAACTCCAATGCCGCCTTCGGCCTGCTGACGACTTTCTTGTCAAAAATCGAGTGGTTCGAGCGGCTGGAGTCCCTCGAGCTCGTTGATGCACCGCTCACAGACCCTGAATTCCGGAAAATCTTCTACTGTTTACCCAGTCTCCGGACCCTCCAGATCGAGCATATTTCGGGGCCATTACCAAGTGAGGCGGCGGTCTCCCAAGCCCTCCCGCTTGCTCAACTCCGGAACTTCTCGTTAACCAGTGACTACAGCTATCCCAACGGCGGCGATGACCTTGCCCCATATCTACCATTGCTCAATCCCTCCACGCTCCGTCGACTGACACTTTGCTGTACATTGCCCGCTGGGGACACGACCCTCGACTCCATCGCCACATTTCCTCAAATCACGCATCTCTCGATTGCTGCCAAGAATGATACTTGCTTCAGCGCTTTACTGCGCAAATGTTCGAACATCCAAGAACTCCACGTTATTGGCGACGTGGATGCTGCTCAAGCTGCGGACGTGGTCAATGGGTTTGGGGCGACGCTGGCTTGTGTCAAAAAGCTCTCCACAGTGTCTCGTCAATTGATGGAGGCCTTTATTCGGCGCGCCACGCAGCTTCGCATCCTCTTGTGCAACTACTCGTACTCTTGGAGAACAGAGAGGGAACCATTTTTCTCCTTCATTCTATCGCACCGCCTTCAAAGTGCATCCTTATCGCTTCTTGATGTGCATGTCGGGCTCGTCCGGCCTGACGGCTTCCAACTGCTCATGAACTCCTTTCCCGCTTTGAAGCATCTGGCATTACGTGCCATGCCACATATGGATGAAACAACACCAGACGGACACAGTGTAGTATGTCGCCTTGTGTCCCCCCTCCTGAGCAGAAACACTAAATCCACGTAGGCTGTAGTCTATCTTGAAGAACTTGCCTCTATCCCCGCCACGCTTACGCCGACACTGCAGACCCTTTTCCTTACCTGGCCATCCAGTCGCCGCGGCCATCTTCAAGTTCCTGGCCTCACCGTGGAAAATCTTCGCGCCACTCTGCAATCCATCACGCAGCGATATCCGACACTCAACGCCCTTGGTGTCGATGCCGGCTCTTTCGTGTTCAGATGGGAGCGAAATCAGATTTGGGGTCTCCAGGAGGAATACGGCATAGATCAAGATGACGGTGAGTTGCCTCGCAAGTTGTATGTTCTCCGCGTCTAATATTACTGGTGGTTGAAAAAGACATGCATCTTAGGCATATTCGTGATCGTCTCAACAATATGTGGGAGGATATTGAGGCGGAAGAGTTGAAAAGCGAGGAAAGCACTTAACTTGAAGGTAATAATACTATGTAGCAGGTGGGTCTTCAATGGCGGTTCGCTCGGAGTAAGTACTGGATGATGTCGGTAGCACAAAAATAAGTATGTAGGTAGCCTAGTAGCAAAGTACACAATAGATTCCAAGACGAAGTACAGAATGGTTTCCGGAAAAGCGTGCTAGCTGAGACCCAAACGACTGACTTGTATGATTTGGGCTGCGCTAGCCGCTTCTCTCAAGCACCCGTGGAGGATCAGTAGTCATCGAAAACCAGAAGAATGTTCAACATCAATTGCAGCCTCAGGCCCATGCTCAATTATTTCTATGACTCTACTTTGCTTGCATCGACCTCAAACTCTTTTGCAAGTAGACCAGGCTGCGCATGTCCTCCGCCGGAATCATCCCGGGCACGCGCGAGTCGAGAACAAGACCAGTGAGCTTTATCTCATGCGCGGCACCGCCAAACAGCGCGTTTGCAATTCTCATGGCAATTCCCTCGAGGAACGGCTTCACGTTGCCGCCGCCATGCCCCTTGTCTGTAACGAAGGTCATCGACTCGAGGTTAGGGAGGTAACCGAGGCGCGCGAGATCCGCAGAGCATTCTTTGGCTTCGTGAGTATTCATGTCGAATAAAGTTACAGTCAGGTGTTTGACAGAATCGACGACGGAAGATATGGCGGTGCAGTAGGCGGCGTAGCTCGTTGGCTCTAAGAACAGAGAGGTTATGCTCGCAGACGATCGGATAACGGAGGGGCCCAGAAGCTGTGCACTCTCTTCATCGAAGCGCGAAAGATGTAGTGTTGTCAGCGCAGGCAAGTCGAGAAATTTCAAGAAGAAGCACTCGCCGGTGCCAAGCGACAAATTTGACAAGCGGGGCAATCGTACGGGCGGCTTCGAGCTCCAGTCCTCGTCGTCGATGAATTCCTCCTCGAATGGTGATGTCATGGATATCGAGAGCTCTTCCAAGCCCGACAGTTGCGTGAGCAGGAGGAGAAGCTGAGCATACTCGGCAGGGGGTTCAAGAAGGGTCAATATTTTCAATTGATGGGTGGGAAACAGGAGGTGAGAGAGTAAGCCGCTGATAACATTGATAGACAGGTCGCGGAGATGGGGAGCCTCCATAACCAAATGGCTTGGCTTAATTACTGGATCCTCCACATTGACAGTAAGTTTCGTGAGGCGAGGACAAATGGTGCTTCCATTGGGTGCAGGATTACCATCCCAGCAGTCGGGCCAATACCTGCTTGTCAGCGAGGCTTCCTGCCACTGCGCAACAGAATTAAATGCACGGCGAGGAAGCCAGCGCTGTCTTTGCAGGTCCACGGTGTATTTGATTGGTAGGTCGCGTACGCGTGGCAGAAAGCGCTCGAATATTCTGTCCTGCACTAGGCAAGGCTCCGAGCCAGGCTTGACCCCGTAGTATGTCTGTGTCCACAAGCGTGGGTCTGCAATTGCGATGCTGCGCCAATGGCGACAAACGGCAGTAATCTCCAAGCGAATACGGTTGGCTTCGACACGAGTTTGAAGCGAGGAGGACACGGCTGCTGCAAATATGTTGCAAAGGATTTCATTGGGGAGCGTGTTTATGGGGTAAACAAGGCAGGATAGATCGAGCTGGATCGCGTCGAGACGGTCTTCAAGGCTTGCCAGCTTTGTCTTCAGCTCGCCAATAGCTTGTTTGAGCTGCTCCGCCTCTTCTCTGAGCTTAGACTTGGTAGGAGGATCAAGAAGTTCGAGTGTGAGTCGACGCAGTCCATGAAGAAACGCGGTGGCCTCAGCGGCACCCTGGTAGCGCGCGTTAAGCATTCGATTTGCGGTTCTGGGAAATGTGAGACCATATGGAGGCCATAGAAGTGAAAGGACAGTACCCCCGTCCTTGTCGAGGCGGTAAATTGGTGGGTTGGTATTGTCGCTGTCGCAGCTCTGGCCAAAGAAGGATCGTCACATGATTCCACTCTTGAGTCTTGCCACCATATGCATCCACGCCAACTTCAAGTGAACACCCGTTCCTCGCGACCTCCATAATCACCCATGCGCTGCGGCAAGCGAATGTTCGAGCTGGCGAACGATTGAAGGACGACACGATGGGGCGGTGGTGAGGTCTTGGAACCAGAAGAGGCTGGTTTGGAGGTGCGCCGTTTCCCGCTGCATTTCCGCCCTCCTCTCACTCTCTTATCCAGATATTTGGTTCCACTACTACACCCCCCGCCTTCGTTCCTCGATACACCGGCCAGTGTCCTGCGACTATCTATCGACACCAGTAACAACAACTCAGACGGAATGCTTACCTTCGACGCGTCTGCCGTCATTCACAGTTATCTGACAATACTCGCTATTGAAAGCGCTCAGGAAGACCTTAGGAAGGAGAAGAACTGCCCCGGTATGTCTGCTTGTCATACACTCTAGCTTAAGCTGACACATCTTCGCAGCCAATGCCTGAAGATCGTTCAAGTTTGCTGTAAATCAGAGGCGGCAGGGCCCTACTGGAGAGCTTGCATGCACGAGAAATTGCAGTCGGCGAGAGAGGTGTGTAGCATTACCCTAATGCTCGCAGGCGCTTCTGACGTCCCCAACACCAGACTACCAACACTTCCGTACCTCCGCGATCGGCGTTGCCTTGGTCGTACTCGCGCCTCAAGTTTACGAGGTGCGTTACTCCATCCCGCTCGAGAGCACTCTGGCTTATCTGGAAAGTCGCGAGGCTGAAAGCAAGAAGTCATCCGCGCCCGCGTTAAGCACTCACTCTTCCCTGTTGACCTCCGGCGAGCCGGACGACTACCCAGGTTATGGTCAAATCTCTGTCGTCTACCGAAAACCAACCGACCACAGGAGGCCGCAATCACCAAATCTTCTGCTCCGCCTCCACCTCCACTATCTCTGCGTTCCCCTCCTCGGCCGGCGAGATCACGTGCTCCGCCGGCCTCCCCGCCGCACCGCCGAACAAACACATCTTGACAACTGCGACACTCAATCGAATGTACCCTGTTCTGCTGCCCGTCGACTTTACCCTGCCTATTCCTTTTTGGCTGGGCTATCCTGGCCTGGAAGCACGTCGTTAGGGAGGGTTTCGTCGGCGCTGGGGGAGGTGCTTTGGAGGTGCGTGGCCAGTGGATGGATAGCGTGTTGTGAGGGGCCCGGTCGCATGGACGGTATATCTTTCGAGAGCCGCGGCAAGTGAAACAATCCGTGCTCTCCCTGCTCTTGTTGCTTCTTCTCTTTACTAGTACCCCTGCAAACCATTGCATGAACCCTTTATCTCTCGCTACTTGTTTTCACCGCATGCATCCACTCATACTGCGCTCGAAGTCCTTCATCTTTTTGTCACGCTCCGTTATCTCGTTTCTCTGAATACTACTGCGAGAGTAAGTATATTATTCATAGGTACTCCAGGAATCCCGTAGCACGTTTCTCCCCGCCCACAGTGCCCAGCTTTCCGAGCCCAAGAGAATGAAGGACATGGCACTGGCAATCCATGCATATGAGGTGTGACATGCCGTAGACCAAGAACACACTGGCAGTGGACTTTATACTACTGGATGATCTGGCAAGCATGAAAGCAGCGGACAGAACGAGTCTCCCGGACGCAAGCGAGAGCCGTTGAATTGCTCGCAGGCTGTTTGCATCGCAAACTGGGAGCTGTAATGCACAAGCGCAGAGCCAGTATTCCAGTATATGGGTGCTGCAGCAGGCAGGAAAGAGATGGATATGGCGTTCAAGTTGCCAATGCCGCTTGCACCGGGAAATGACGGCGGCATGAAAAGCCGTTGAAGCTCGGTGAGAGTTGCGTCTACAGGGATGTGGAGCACCCGCATGGCCCAGGTATTCCCGCTCAGAAACTGATCCGGCGCGGCCTTGCTCGTTTCTTCTATATACTGGTGCCATATGTCGAGCAACGCCGCGCCGATGGCGGCCCCGAGTTCAGTCCCGTGCTCGGATTGCTGCAGGCAGAGCCAAAGAAGGGTTTGCGCCCGCGGGCTGCACAGGCGGTGTGTTTCGTGAAACGGCATTTGCTGCTTGGTAACCCATTCAAACTCGAGGCTGACCGTGGTGCTTCTGCTAGTAGTCGTCCACAATGGTTCCTCGATGCGATCTGTCGGACTATGGGCGCGTCTCAAAGGTCCGACGCAATCTTCACTGACATATGGCTGAGCGCCGAAGCTGGCATTCAGGAAGGAACTGGGCTGGTAGCTCTCTAGTGCTACTGGGCTAGGTCTAGCATCCATCCGCAACTCCGGTGCATGCGAAACACCGGCACTTGAAGGTTGGATGTTTGTGCCGATAGAGACTGGTGCCGTCAAGGCTCGAGCATTGAAAACTGCATTGGACGCTGAGAAACAGTGATTGTAGCGACTTCTGTGTGCTGTGGATTCGTTTGCAGTGGACCTTCCCGGGCCACAGAACCCTGTCACTCTAGAGTGCAATTCGTGAACTACTGAATGACGGCCAAAACGTAGACCTACCTGGCAGACCCATACAGCTCCCCGGTAGTAGACTGACAGAATAGGATGAACACGTCGGTAGTCGCGAGCAGCGTTCCGCCTAGTTCATGTATAACGTAGGTATTGGTATCGCGCGGCAAGATCCAGCTGTTTTTTGCTTGGCTGGTGTCAACGTCAACGTCATTCTGTACCCGATGGTAAGGATTATAGGCGTTTCTGGGCTGCAAAGATAGGCGTACCCTACTCCCGAAAACAAAGAATCGTGCAGGCTTGGGGACATTCGCGGCGTTGACTTCAGGCACAGCTGCGGCCGGTTCCAAGTTGGACTGTGGCCGGCCGGGCAGGTTGACCTCGCTGGACAACATTCGAGGCAAGGTGAAGGGGGTGGTGGAGGAGCGAAGAGTTCTTGAGCAAAGTATAGCTGTGGAGCAGCAGTACTCGTACTGCTATCATGATGATCACCGATAGGCCGCAAGCACAGCTTCAATGACAGACTTCTGCCACGAATAAGCCGGGGTGAGAGATACTTAGTCATCGTCCTTGTGGATGTAAAAAACCATTGTTATGGGTATACATGCAAGGAGGCAAATGGAGACCAGGAGCATTCTCGAAGCGACCTGAAGGAGATTATTTAGTGCCAACAGCATAACGACCAGAACGCGCACTTGCCTGCCATGGCCGACACTGTTTTATGTTGCTCGTGCCCAACGAAGTCGCACCACACAAAACCACCAGTTCAACGCCCATCTTCGCATATGTCCATCGCCCAGGGAAACGCCGCGCCTCCTTCTGCCAACTTCCTCGCTAGCCGCCCAAATGGCTTTGATAAAAACGCGCCAAAACGAATGCCTTCCGCCCTAGTTGCAGCATCCAAAGGAGTACGGGCGGACCTTGATGTGTTTCCGTAGGAGATACTCTTGCCGGAGCGATAGATGTCGCGTCGTCCAAGATATTTTGAAGGCGTTTTCTCTCGGTCAGCATCACGTGACCGTGCCTTTTGGGACAGAGGTCGTAGACGTGGTGGATGGCGCGGGTGTACGGGGAGCGGAGGCGGAGGCGGACTCGGAGTTGAAGGAAAGGTGGAGAGGAGTACTATGTGGTGCTTGTTTCAGCGGTTGGTGGTCATCCAGTCGTAAGTAACATGCCCGGAAGAGCAAACACCCCGCTAGCTTAAGGTCGACGCTTAAGTTGTGCAGCGTTGGTGGATGGTAGATAACACAATTTATTCTCGCGTCTGCGGCCGACATCCGGTTGGGACGGGGAACAATCTGCCGTTTACCCAGGAAAAAGCACTCATATCACCGAGTAAGCAAACGAGTGCATATAGACGGCAAAGCACGGCACCCAGAGCTTGAGCGCTTGATACAGTTCTCCTCCTACGCCAATCGCCAAAGGGGAGGAAGGGGTGCGGGAGGGCATTGCGCGGGAGAGTCTGGAACCAGCAAAGTCAAAATGTGTCTGGACACAGGCGTCAGCCACGCACCTATAGCCCAGCCCTTCGCGGCCCACAGCAGAGCCTTTCCTTCTCCCGCTCGCCGCAAGCACACCGACCGGTTTCCCGGTTAGCAAAACCCAAACTGAAGTTCTCCCACTCGCTCGTTAACCGATAATAACCAGGACGGACAACTTCAAAACGCTTCGTTGAGTGCTTGTCAGAATCTACGGCCACTGGTCGTTCGTGCATATGGCTTTGGAACGAGTGGGTGATGTCGCATGTGGAGACCAGGAGAGAGGTGTGGAAACCGAGGCAAGCGTTGTCGGCAATCTACAATCCTTTCAGCACAAATGCGGATGGCCAAACACGAACAACGCACGTTTTTGGCCACTCGCGTCCCAGCCCCCTTCCATCTTTCGTTGCGCAAGGAACTTAAAACCCGCAGTTGGCCAACAGCTCGAAAGGAAGTCTGACATGGTCGTCGTCTGCTGCTGCCTATGATGAGCCGTGTCTCAGAGTGAAGCTGTGAACGATGCGTGGGATCCCCAGATTGAGCCACTAGTTCGGAGTTGGTGCAGTGTCGACTTGCTGGAAGTTGACATGAGAGGACAAAAGAGAGAGGCGCGTCACGCTTTCGAATCCACCTCTCACAGTGATCACCTCACAAAAATAACTACTCGTATCTCTCACGCCGACAGAATTAGCGCTGGTGTCTAGCCATGTCAAATGCTGTTTCTCCTCGCCTTCACCTCGACCTACGCTCGCTCGAACCACAGCGAATGCAATGACATAAACGACTGTCGGCGTCTATTCGACATCGTCTGGGGCTGTCTTGTCACCATTTTCTTATGCATATGGGTCTCTGTGCACCCGAACATACCTCCTCCATGCCCGGAGCCGCCGGATGGAACTGGCTTGCGATTCCTAAAGTGGTGGCTGGTCGACGGTAATCGACCGTTTCTGCAACGACTGAAGCTCATGACGGTGGCCCTCATTGCCCCTGAGTTCATCCTCGGGTTTGCGGCAAGACAGCTCCAGATGGCGCGATTCTTGTCTCAGGCTCAAGGTAGAGGCTTCATGTTAGTGTCTTAATATTGTTGCTGCTGATCTGGTCAACTTCAAGGTTACGGTTTATCTCTAACACATGGATTCTTCATCGTCATGGGCGGATTCGTGGACGGCGACGGCCATCCCGTTGTCACGCAACGGCAACTGCGAAGGAATGGCGTTACCGAGGAAATTCGGGCAGTCCACAAGTCGGACATTGAAGACAAGAGCAAAGGGGACCTCTTATCGAAAGGAATTGCGCTTTGCCAAGGATTGTGGTTCATGGCCCAATGCATCGCACGCCGAGCACAACATCTGCCTCTCACTGAGCTGGAGGTTGCTACGCTTGCATTCACAACAATCAGCGCGATAACCTGGATACTCTGGCTGCAAAAGCCTCTCGATGTGCGAGGCCCTCTCAAGCTTTTAGTGAAAACAAAATCTCGTTCTCATCATGTTGGAAACCCCTATCCTGCCGGCCTGACCCGCATCGAGCGGTTTGGTTTTTTGTTCTCGAATTCATACAACCGGCACGAGTACGACCCCTTTGCGAACACGTCTGTCCCGGCATTCTGGGGCCTCGCGGAGTCTGACTTTGACAAACTCCCTCGCTGGTCGTCTTTTTCCACTATCTTCGCTCAGTTCGCATGCGCCATACTGATTGGTGGCATCCATTTGACCGCATGGGGAGCATTTTTTCCCTCCATCGTGGAGATGTGGTTATGGCGTAGTTCGGCGCTGATGCTCACCGTCTTGCCCATTGTCTTTATCGTCTTGTCAATTCCTGGTGGTCGATGGGCCACGCATCTGCGTCTGGTCATCATTGGCATTTATTCAATTGCACGAGGTATTGTGTTAGTTTTATCATTAGCAACCCTGCGTCTTCTCCCTCCCGCTGCATTTACGGATATCAATTGGAGCATCTACGTCCCCCACTTTTAGTTGAAGCCTCACAGGTTTTATAGATTGATTTGAACCCTCTATTTGCTTTCATTTGCCCGCCTATTACTTAACTTGAATAGCCGCCCTCTTCCCTCACGCAAATTTGAGTTAAGCTTGTGAAGACAGGAAACAAATGAATATATAACAGGTATTAGTACAGAGGTATCGTACAATTCTTCTCTTCACGCTCATGCTTGATCTTCCTTCATCTGCCGCTTCTCGACATCCCCTAGACCACTTTCGCCCTTCGTCCGCCCACCCAAATCCACATTCCCAATCTCCTGCTTGCCCACCGTCTCCCCTACTTCACCCTCGTCCTCATCGATGTACAGCCTGACAGGCTTGACATTCTTCCGCCGCAAAATGAACTTCTTGAAGCCATACGGCACCTGCCGCAGGCCATATGCCGCATGAGTTCTCATTGGGACTGAGAAGACGTGATCCAATTCTTCAAGCGTTCTCCCTTTGGTCTCGCGCACGAAAAGCAGGACAAGCACCCAGAGCACGCTGTAATATGGTTAGTGAAAGTAGTAGCAGGTTAAATGACTCCACGAACCAGCACCAAGCTGCATAAAAAGCCAAACGCGCCTTGAGGCTTGAACGCATTGAGCAGCGATGGGAAGGTGATAGCGAGGACGAAGTTGAAGAACCAAGTTGTCGCGGTCGCAAAGCTCATGCCGAGCTCACGGATGTACAACGGGAACCTGTTGCAAGAGCGATAAGTCAAAGATTAATCACTTCCAGACATCACATACGCTTCAGCAGAATAGGTGAACGGCACAGGTCCCTCGCCCGGGGAATACGCGATTCCGAAAAGGTAGATGCCCAACGACACTCCCGCGACGAGTCCTTTCGGATTGGTGCTCCAGAACGAGAAGCCCGTGATGAGGAGACAGACCGCCATCCACGGGAAGGTGAACAACAACAAGTTGCGTCGCCCAAAGGTATCGATGGTGAAAACAGCCGGGAGCGCAAATACGAAGTTGATCAGGCCAAAGCCGAACGAGGAAAGGAGGGACGAGACGCGCGAGAATCCAGATTGGAAGAAGACCGTGCTCGAATAATAGGCAATAACATTAACACCACAGAACTGCTGGCCAAACATGACGATGAAGCTTGCCACAGTCGCGTTGCGGTTCCGGGGGACAGTGAACATCTCAACAAGCCTGTTCCGTCCCCGCGCGATCTCCTTCTCTGCCTCGAGGGTGACGTGGATGTAGTACAGGTCGCGTGCGGCCTGGACAGGGCTAAAGCGCAACCGGGCGAGCTCGTTGTAGGCTTCGCGATAACGACCCCGACCAATCAACCAACGAGGGCTTTCGGGGGCGAACATTACTTGGCAGCAAACGATAAGGGCTGGGATTCCAGCGGAGCCGAGCATGAGGCGCCACTTGAGGCCGGTAACGTGTGGGTGGTCGGGAACGAAGTAGAATGCGACGTCGATTAAGTCGCCAATCATGATACCGAACGCTGCAAGGATCATAAGTTGCGGTTAACTAGAGAAGGGGCTAAAAACTTACCTGTCCACATTTGCCACATCATGACAAGGGAACCTCGAATCGAAGCAGGGGCGCATTCTGCGCTGTAGATGGGGACGGTCGCAGACTAAATGATTATAAGGAACACAGTCAGCTTTGAGCACAAATTGAGGTACCTTTGGACCAATTCCGAAACCACTAGCAGAAGCATAAGACGAGGACAGGGTTGAATAGATTGACATACAGGAAGAACCGCGCGATGAAAAGATGCCACCATGTGTTCGTGAACGCGCTCCAGATGCAAGTGAGGAAACTGATCAGACAGGTAACGAAGATCGTTTTCTTGCGTCCTAATGCCTCGTTCATAGGGTCCGTTATCCAACAGCCGATGAGGGCGCAGCAGAGATAAGGGGCGGAATTAACAAGGCCAACTAGCCAAGAATCGCGTTCTGTAACAAGTCTTGAGTCTACGAGAAAAGACAAGACAGAACTTGACGCACGACTCGTGCCACCGATACCAAACTGTTCTGGGTAGATAATCTGTGCGGATATGAAGACTGGTTCGTCCACAGTAAGTTAGTCGCCTACTTGTGCACCATTCTAAATGATGTGGTCAGAATTGTGCAGAAAAGCAATCAAGGATGGGACGCACAATGACAGACTCGTCCATTCCCTGCACAGCTGCTGCGAGCGAAGACATTACAACCATCTGGCCACCATTAGTCGGTAATTGGCCAAGCAAGCGTTCACGCACGTAGTAGAGGCTCCAAGTTTGACTATATCTATGAGTCGTCTCACGCCGGATGTGGTATTTGTCGTTTTCTTCGAGGAGGTCGACGCTTTCGAATGCTAGGTGGACGATTGAATTAGTAAAAGCCAGCCTGAAGTTTGTCGATGACATACCCGCCGGATCTTGGGCAACTAACGCGCCTTTTCTGAGCTCCAGAAGGATGTCCTTCAAGCCCTTCTCCTCCGCAAATAGCTCTACATCGCTGAGCAGTCGTTCTCGTGGAATCCCTCGCAGCGGATTGTCGAGTTTCCTGTTTGCGGCACTGTCACAAGGGAGTGAGCGATATGAAGGTCAACTCAGGTGAAGGAGATGTACGTGAGGTTTTCTAGCGACGGGTCGGCGCGTGAGGTTGTCGGAGAGGCGGTGGGCGATTGGCCGTGATCATGATGCTCGACATGCGCCTTTTCGTTGACCTTGGCGGTGGACATTTGTGTGTGAGGAGGGGCTTGGGAGTTGCGGGCCGGTGGAGTTCTTGTCTTATGCTCTTTGGTTGGCGCTTGGAGGTTTCAGTGGGAATCCAATGATCTCATAAGGTCACGGTCGGTCTCCACGATATAAGTCAGCCAAAGGTGGAGACGCTGGGATGCCTATGGCGTAGACTATGACGAGGAAGTTTCCGTAACTGGCGGGGAGATAGTTGAACCGAGAGTCGTAAGATTGGTTCTCGACATGGTGGTTTGGGGAAAAGGTAGGCTTGATTATGATCGCATCAAGGCGCCGAAAACCTGTTGTGTTTCCCTCTTGCCACTGCTTTCCCTTCTCAAATTCATATGCCTTCACGACTACCTATTAACCATCTAAGAAGGCCTCAGAAGGGAACACATTCAACTCGACTACAGCTGATTTCATTTTCTATGCTTGCTGGAGCTCCACCGTGGCTTTCTTTTGCTCCCAGAAATTCACAGCCTTCCGCATCTGCTCCACTGTTTTCAACAGTTTTTGAAAGCATCCAGCAATATGACTCTTCGTACGAGAGCCTATTGTCTTTCTAGCCTTGAAAGGTTTTCACTTTCAGGTCAGTATACTAGTATTTGTGGAAGAATTGAACTCTAAGAAAGCGTAAGTATGTAGTACTCTACAGCGATAGATCTATAATCATCCCCTCCCGAAACTCATCAGGCCCCATAATCGAGCACAAAAACACCCTCCTGCGCTGTCCGCACAACATAAATTACTCCACCAATGTCGTCAATCAACAGCTCGATAGGATGTGGCCTAATGTGAATGCTATTCCGGGGCAATCCCAACGCCGAGTCCAACGAGAGCGCGTGGATGGTCAGCTTCGACTCCTCCGGGTGGTACCGCACTAGCTCGAGCCGCCAATGCAGCATGCCCATGATTCCAGTTGGCGAGCAACACTGAATCACAGCGGTCCGCCCACTAGTTCCCGGCCAGACACGTGAGACGCGGGTGCCTGGGTGGGAGGCGTTTGGCTCGTAGAAGACAGGCTTGTCAAGTCGGAAAGTGCCGTCAAAGTATAGTGAGCGCATTTTCGTGAGCGCAATGCGCGCGACACCGCTGTCTGGATTGAACAGCTGGGTTGTTACCGACGTCGCAAAGGAAGTCGACCGTTGTTCTGGTGGATGCGAGAGGTACTCTATCGTGCCTGTTTCCGAAGATATATGAACGATGTCCTCGGTGTCTGTGCCAGAAATGTAGAAGGCGCCGTTGTGGATAAGAACTCTGGGGAGCAGGCCCACTTGCTGAGGTATTTCGACAAAGTGGGGCTTTCCCTTCGGCTCATTTCGTTTCCAGTATACGAGCACAGGAAGGCGGGTCGACATGCGGTGATACACAATGCAAACATAAGCCGAGTCAAGAGCTGCATCGATCGGCGCTCCTCCCGGAGTAAAGTGTGGATGGGGGAGCGGTCCTGAAGAAAATATCTGCGACTCCGAGAGCGAAAGCGTTGCCCTCCAATCCTCCGTGTAGTCCAGAGACACGATTGCCGCTCCACGATAAGAGTGCTCTGACGTGGATTTCAATATTGTCGAGAATGGGATTAGGCTCTGTTGGTACGTGTGAAGTGGAGGCGACTTTCCGAGAAGATAAGCAGTATATTTATCCTCGTCCGCGACAAGTTCTAGGAACGCAAGCGCCTTGCCCGTTCGGGTGTTGCGACAAGTAATGGTCTTGTAGTCAGTCACCAGGAGGAGGGGCGTGCCAGGGATGACACAGAAGTCGTTCCTGGGGAAGGATATCGCGATTGTACGGAGATCATTGGGTAGTGGACGCGGAGAACTCCAGCTTCTGTGGAGTTTGAAGGCCCGGATGGCATATAGCCGCAAACTGTCTACGGGAAGATCGAGCAGGACAACTCCAGGCGGGCATGGAGGCGGGTGGTGATGCAGCGCTTTGAGCCAGAAGTCTTTCACTCGCAAGAGCTCGTACAAGGGTGAGCAGGTCTGGCGGATTGGCTATCAGCAGTTTCCGACAAGTTCCGAAAGTTACCGAGAGTAGATGTATGGCGTCGTTGAGGTTGGCGTGGGCGAGGATTGCGAGGAGGATGTCTGGGGGTAGTTCCGCTAACGGCATCAACGCGTCGCGTGCAATGAGATGGGCGGTAGGAGAAACCACAGCGTGGGTCACGAGACCGAATATTCGTTTTTATCTCACGTCATACAACTTCAGGTTGTTACTTCCAACGCGCAAACAACGAGCCTCGAGAAGCTGTACATTACGCTACCTGCAACAGGACCTCTTCGACAGCTATGGCCAATGACAACGAGCAGGACTTGCGTCTTCGAGCGGCGTCAAGACCTTCAATCCTTGGGATATTGGACAGCACTAACTCTGCATTGCGGCAATGACTGAGCAGCTCTTTGAGGCCACCCGCTCGAGCTAGATGGACTTTTATTCCCTGGCCTGGGTGCATGCCGGTGGCTTCAAATGACTAGCAATTGACCGTGTAACACTCCAAATAATATTGCCTCAAGGCGAAGAAACGCAAGCAAAGTCTTCCGACAAGAACTCACCTTCACCGTCAGCTACTCTTCTCGCGGTTCTATGAATTAAGAGAACCATAAACGCACTCGTACTTGAAGTATCGAATTGAAGTCGTCAAGGGAGCCTATGAACATAACACGACTATCCATTCTTGACTCGAAACTGTTGTCGCAGCATGCATCTGACTGAGAGCTCCGCTCTGGAGTCTGTCTGAATAAGTACTCCAGTCGTAGCTGCCGATTTGCACGGACAGCGAGTCGGGGGACTTGATGTACTTGCACGTCCTCCCGCGAAGTCCGGTCAAGCCGGAACGCGCAAATAGAGTTTGCCATGGCATCCCGTCGTAGAGAAGACGACCGTGGAGAGTTTCCTGCGATGGAAAAGGCAGCTTGAAGGAACCGGATGAAACGTTTATCCGGTAGGGGAAGTAATAATCTGCTCCAAAGCATAAGCCTCAGAGGCGTGCAAGACGGGGCAGTCGGTGAGCACAAGAAGGTTGTCGCCGTCGGCCTTGCGAGAGCACGCAGCGTTTTGTCGCTGCCAAGGTTATGAGAAGAGTTGTTTGGCGACCGTAACATCAGCCTCGTGAATGCCGGCAATGATAAGTATGGACGGGTGTGGCGCGCTGGGCGGCGTCGAGCGAGTAAGCTGCAAAACAACTGTAAAAAAAAAGAGAGTATGCTCTAGAGGCGTGTGCTCGGAAACTAGCCAAGGACAAGCGGAACGGAAACAGGGAGCGCTTACGGTCCGTGCGCCATCAAGCATCACGGGTTGTGAGGCCTCTTCTTATTGCGCCTTGACGTGTCTGCCCCCCATTTTTCGTTCCTTGTTATTTGTTCCCTTCGTACGTGCTCTGGAAGGCGCTAGAGTGTAGCTAATCGGTTTCCAAGCACCACACTCGCTACTTCTGGTCGTTTTTCGCAACGCCTTTTCTGCTTGTTGGTACCAATCCCGCCCATGGAGGACACCCAGGCAGCGTTAACGCAGCCCTACCCGCCCTATTCGTTCGATATCGACATGATGAAAGTGCGTTCGGCAGTCTCGCCAAGTATCATCCTAGTTGCTAGGAGGAATATTGATCTTTCTCTCTTTCTTCCTCCCAGCGCTCGATGGACCCTGCTGGCGGCCCTGACTCGAAAAAAGCACGTTGGTCACCCACTTCGGGCTCCCCCCGCGATGCCTATGCCAACTACGGATACGGAAACCAGGCCCAGCAGTCGCAGGCCCCACTCTACTCTACCCCGCCCCAGCTGTCCATCAACACCAATACGAATGGCGGTCAAATGAGCCCCAACTCTCTGGCTTCCTTCCAGCAGCAGCAGCAGCAACAACAACAGCAGCAGCAAGCTGCCGCGCAACAGCAACAAGCCCAGCAGAGTCCGATAGCTGGCTCGCCATACGCCCAATTTAACCCTTACAACATGTTGGCGATGGGCCAGTTCCCCTACCCGCAACAGAACTTCCAGCAGGTGTGTGGCCAATCCCTTTGGTATTGCCCTCCTTCTTATGACCTCGCAGCAAAGTCCAGGCGGTTTTTCGCCCCAGCGTCTTCCCACTCTCAACATTCCGGCTGCTCAAGCAGTCTACAACCCTGCTGCCCTCTCCGGCCTTCTTTCGGCCACTTCCCCATCGCCAGGCCGCACCGTTTACATCGGAAATTTGCCCCCTTCAGCCTCCGTTGACGAGCTTCTAAACCTCGTCCACTTTGGACCCCTTGAATCGATTCGTGTTCTTCCGGAAAAGTCTTGCGTCTTCCTCTCATTCCTCGACGCCCCGACTGCTGCAGCGTTTTTCGCTGATGCCACCCTCCGCAAGCTCACCCTTCACACTCAGGAGCTCAAGATCGGCTGGGGTAAACCGTCACCGGTGCCTGCCCAGGTAATGCAAGCCATCGCCCAAAGCGGTGCCTCGCGAAACGTCTACCTCGGTGGTTTGGACGAAAACATGACGGAGGAGCAGCTCCGCGACGAGTTGAGCAAGTTTGGGCTCATCGACCAAGTCAAGATTGTCCGCGACAAGAATATCGGATTCGTCCACTTCCTCAGTATCAGCATCGCCACCAAGGTCGTCAATACGCTTCCTACGGATCCGGCATGGGCGGGAAAACGCGTTAACTATGGTAAAGACCGCTGCGCTTATGTTCCCAAGTCCCAACAAGCTGCCGCCCACCAGGCCCAAGCTGCCGCGGCCCAATCGCTCCTCCAATCGGCTGGCGCGTTTGCTAGCCCAATTGCGACTATGAATCCGAACAGCTTTGCCAGCCCGATTGCGACGACGAACCCGAATAGCTTTGCGAACGGCTATGCGAGCCAGCCGGCTAGTGCCCATCCGGGCGGAGCGGGAGCAGGGGCCAATCCATTCACTGGTGGCAATCCTGCAACTGCTGGACCCAGCAGCGCGCATCCTGGAAGTGCGGGGTCGACTAACCCGATTCTGACTGGACAGATCCCAACGGTATATTTTACGTTTAACCGTTTGTGGACCATACTGATGTGTCTTGTAGGGCAACGGTCAACTCGCGTCGCCTGCTACTGGGTATGGTTACAACCCCTCGCCGTTTGGCCAAGATGCGCTCAGTGCGATGATGGGCATGGGTATGTTGGGTGGGATGATGAGCCCGATGAGCCCCGGTGGACTGGGTATGCTGGGTGGTATGGGTAAGTCCTCTTTTCTCTTGATTTTCGTTGTCCAGTTTCGGGATGTGGTTCTTGTCTTCTTCCGATTCCTTCTGTTTCTTCTGTCTACATCTTCCGCTATTCCTTTATTCGTTTTATCCGGGACTTCCCCTTTGATTCGACATACTCTATTTTATTACCTTTTGCTTTCCCCCCCTTTTTTTCGGAACTTTTTCTTGGATCATTCTACGCTACTTTATAATCTCCTTTACATAGATCCGGTTGTTCTCCAGTTCATTTTACTGTACTCCTCACTTTCAACTCTCTGTTATTCCATTCCATCCACTCTCTTTTCTCTCCGGTCGTTATGTTATGCTCACTACCATTTCCACAGCTGGCCTTCCTGGTCTGGGCATGGCTGCCGGCAATCGCACTGTCTATCTCGGAAACATTCATCCCGAGACTTCTACGGAGGACCTTTGCAATGCGATTCGCGGTGGTGTTCTCCAGAGCATTCGTTATATGGCGGACAAGCATATTGCTGTGAGTTACTTCCACTCTGACGGTCATATGATGTCTAATGGTATCCAGTTTATAACATTCATCGACCCAGCTGCAGCGTTTACTTTCTTCCAAGTTTCTTCGTACCAGGGTTTGACGCTCAACAACCGTCGCCTCAAGATTGGTTGGGGCAAGAACTCTGGCCCGTTGCCGCCGACATTGGCGCTTGCCGTGCATGCTGGTGCGACGCGCAACGTTTATATTGGAAACGTGGAGGATTTCGAAGTTTTCAACGAGGAGCGTTTGAAGGCAGACTTTGGCGAGTTTGGGGACATTGAGCTCGTCAACTTTTTGAAGGAGAAGTGAGTGTTGCAAAGCTTAGATATGTTCAATGCTAATTTCGACTAGGAACTGTGCGTTCGTCAACTTCACCAACATTTCCAACGCAATCAAGGCTATCGACGCTATCAAGACGCGCCCTGAATATGCCAATTTGCGTATTGCCCATGGGAAAGACCGTTGTGCCAATCCCCCGCGGTCAGGGCCACAAGGAGGAGGACGTCGCGCTGCTAGTGGTGCCGGCCCCGCGGCTGGCGAGCCTGTCAGTGCTATTGAGCCAGAGGGGGAGGTCGACTTTGAGGCTGCTGCTGCCGCTGCTCACGCAGAGTTGGAGGCAGAGCACAAAGAGGATGGAGCGGCTGAGGTTGCGTCGTAATCGTCCGCACTTATCAACTTAAATGGCGGACGAAATGGTCGTCTTGCCCACCGAAACAAACTCACCCCAAGTCGCTCTTTTAACCCAAATACCCCCAAAGTTTCTTTTTTCTGGCTCGATCTCCTCTCTCTCTCGGCAAACTGGAATGGAACAATTGCAATACCGAACAATCAAAGCACGCCCTCCCGTCCACACAACTCATAAAATCCGACACTCACCTTCGCCCCGCGTTTACCTTGAGCCTGGCTTCGGGTGATACGGGGAGGAGATCTCGCATATTCTTTCCGACGAGACGGACGGACCAGACAACAACAAAACGACCATGGCCTTCGATTCTTACGTCCCGTTGTCGTTCGTTTTGTCCCCCCCTGGTCGATTGTCCTATCTACCACAGTGCACCACCTTCCCCGGTCGCACCAGTTCCGCTTCCCCTTCGCGCTTTGACTATACTCTTGTTCCTTCCTACAATACTTTCATTTTTTGTTCCCCCTTGTTACCAAGTGTTTTCGCAGCCAGCGTTGCATTGCCAAGTGTTCTTTCTTACCCCTCCGCTTGCTGGCTGTCCTCTCACTTAATTATGCGTCCATTTATACTGTATAACCGTGCAAACTCTTTCTCTTCGATCCTTGGGTTTATTGGCGGGTTTTGTTTGGAGTCGTCCTGCCACGCAAGGCACAATTTGCTGCTTGGGTCCGCCCCCATCGCCAATTTCCCCGCTAATGGATGACGGGAAACGAATTTAGATGGATCCATCTTGCTCACACTCACAATGTAACAACACACAATGTATTTCTGTCGACAGTTAGCTAGTACTTGGGTGCAATGAATGGGTACGGAGTCTGTTTCGTGCCCATCAACACGTGACCTCGACTTGCTCTCTCTCTAAACGCACAATTGTCAGCCATTTGGAGGACATACGCCCTATCTGAGGCCACGTATTTGTCGTTCTATATTCCTCCTGGACATCTTCATTCAACTCAAGGCTTTCAACAGCGCCGACTTGAAGAAACGCGGCATTCTAGCATTCTACATAGGATAAGTGGTTTTTGGTCAACCCTCGGAATCTCGGAGCGATGTCATGGCCATAGCCGCTCACCACATCCACCACATGTTTCCGCATGATAACCTATGATAAGGAGCGAAGAGACCAGCTTCTGGCAACGAAAATCACCTTCCAGATTGCGATTCACGCGCTCATCAGACAGAACATGAGGGTTGCGGCGACGATGGCGAATCTCTTGCGTGGATCGTCTTCGAAAGCTTTGCCCGCTACGAAACACGATAACACCCGCGCCTCACTCTCTTTTCCACTGCCATGGCCTGCGGGGCCCTCTTTGTCGGCGCTTTAGCCCTCCTTCAAATCCAGGCTGCACTCGCGGCTGTGCCGGTCATTACCCTCGACAACGCGACGTTTACGGGGACTGTCGCTTCCAGCAACACACAGAGCTTCTTTGGGATACCATTTGCCCAGCCGCCGTGTGTTTTTTTCGCTATTCTTTGACCAAGCTGACAACGCCATAGTGTAGGTGATTTGCGATTCAGGAAACCTGCGCCTATTGCGCCATACACGGGCTCCTTTAATGCCTCTCTCATGGGGCCGTCATGCCCCCAGCAGTTTACTCGAGTCCCTGTTGTGTCTGGCTCGCTGCAAGCGCTGATCAGCAAACTGTGGGGAGACTATTACTCGGGGAAGTATCCCGACTCTGAGGATTGTACGTGGTCCTTTTCACCATGATTTTCATCTCATTCTAAAGCACTTAGGCCTCACTATCAACATTATAAAGCCAGCCAACGCCAACCCGAACTCGAAGCTTCCCGTTGCTCTTGTGCGTGCTCTTTCCCCGACCATATGTGGTTTCTCAAGGTGTTCCCAGTGGCTTTTCGCTGGCGGTTTCGAGTTCGGTACCCCAGCCAGGTACGATGGCACGCCCATCGTCGAGCGCTCTATTGCGATGAACAAGCCTATCATATATGTCTCTATCAACTACCGCGTCTCCGCATTCGGGTTTTTGGGCGGGAAGGAGGTCAAAGAGGCCGGCGTGGGCAACCTCGGACTGCAAGACCGTGCGTTGTCTGCTTCAATCACTCCCCCAAACTGACACAGCGCAGAACGGGAGGCGCTTCGCTGGATGCAGAAGTACATCTCCGCTTTTGGAGGCGATCCGAAGAAGGTCACCATGTGCGTTCGGTCTCCAGTTTGACTACAGACATTGACTCTCCTTAAAGCTGGGGCGAGTCAGCGGGGGCCATTTCGGTTGCCTTGCATATGCTCACCAACGGCGGGAACACCGAGGGTCTTTTCCGCGCCGGCTATATGCAGAGCGGGTCGCCGATTCCAGTGGGGCCTATCGACAACGCCAGCGGCCAGAAATGTGCGTTTTAGAAACACCATGTCCTCACTTTGCTGATGGTTTTCTAGTCTATGATGAGCTTGTGGCCAATGTCGGATGCCAATGGGAATTCGATACCCTCGCATGTCTCCGGACTATTCCCTATGACCAGCTGAAGAAACAGGTGGATGCGTCGCCGTTTTTCCTCGATTATCAGGTCAGTTCTTTGTGCTTCCGGTTGCTGTATCTGACCAGCTGTTTAGTCGCTTGTATTAGCATGGCTGCCTCGCGTTGACGGGGACTTCCTCGTCGACAACCCGCAGCAGCTTGTTCTTAAGGGCCAGGTTGCCAAGGTTCCCTTCATTGCTGGGGACTGCGATGATGAGGGCACCGTCTTCTCGCTCTCGACGCTCAACATAACGTCTGTCTTTTGTTTTCAAGCTAACTTCTGACCCTGTTGTTCAGATCTGACGCCGCGTTCAACGACTATCTCGCCACGATCTGGGCACCGACTGCCCCAAACTCCACCATCGCTGCCCTCGCTAACGCGTACCCGAGCGACATCACCAAGGGCTCGCCGTTCGACACGGGCATCCTGCATGCGCTGACCCCGCAGTTCAAGCGATTAGCTGCTTTCCAAGGCGACGCAGTCTTCCATGCCCCGAGGCGGTTCTTCCAAACCCAGCTATCAGGCAAGCAGAAGCAGTGGGGCTATCGTCAGTTCTTTCCCTCCTGCTATAAAACTGCGAACTTACGGTGTGGTATCCAGTTAACAAGCGCAACAAGGCAATCCCATTTGTTGGCTCGGTAAGTTTCCACATACTTGCTCCCATCGAGCTATTCGCTTACTACTACGTCTGGCCAGTACCACACCTCTGACGTTTCAAACGTCTTCGGCGCGGGCGAGCTTACGGACTACCTCGTCAACTTCGTGACCGACCTCGACCCCAACGGCCCCACTGTCCCTGCGTGGCCGCAATACTCGACTGACTCGCCCAATTTGATGACGTTCTACGATGCGCTGCTGACGAAAGATAAGACGGGGGTTTCGCAGGACACGTTCCGGGTCGAGGCAATGAAGGTGTTGACGGAGGCGAGCTTGGCGTTCCCGATATGACCAGCAAGCACGATTGTAGACCGAGTATAAATCGCTGTTGTAGCTTTGACCCACTAGAAAGATAGAATTGAATATGGAGGTACAATTACACCACAATACAGCAGTAGAATAAGGGTACAGAGCAATAAAACTAGTAAGAAAAAGACAGCCATGAGTAGTACATCTAACCCCAATGCGGAATAAACACCGACCAATTCGGTAAGAGATAGACGCCGCGCGGGAGGGCGCCAACGTTGAGAACAGCTTCTACCAGCAGAAACATCCGGATGACGAACTCGAAAGTCCCGACCACGACAACGGCAGAAAAGGTCTCCGAGTACCACGACGTCTCCCCCACCGCCCAAGCAAATGCGCCACCAAGCAAAAGGCCGCCACCGCTGATAAAGCACGATGCGACCCGCCAAAAGAGCTGCATCCACGACGATGAAAAGGTCGCATTCCAGCCAGCTGCGTGGATGAGCCCGTAGAATATTTCAGCGACCGTGAAGCCCAGAATCATCCTCTTAGACGCGTACTCCCATGACTCATAAGTGGGCACATTGGAGGAGCGGAGGACAAAGAATTCGGTGGGTTTCAGGTCAAGGGTCGTGTCTGTCTTGACAAGCTCCCATGCAAGGCGCCAGCGGAGGACACCCTCCGGCGCAAGGTAGAGGCTGTCCGACGGAAGTCCCGGTTTGCGGTCCAGGACACGACGTGTGATGTCAAATCGGTAGTCGTTTGTCCTGATGAAGCGGAGCCCAGTGCCGGGCAGCGTATCGGCACTAGAGCCTCGCCCGAGAACGACATTTCCGTCACGTGTGGCAGGAGGAACAGCGGAGGAAAGAACGGCATTCCGCTCGACTGAAACCCATTGGCATTCGGGGGTGCGAGCCATATACGAAGCGACCGCCTTGTTCGGGTGCTTGAGTGCCAATTTCCCGCTGAGTGAACTGCACATGTACATGTAGGCACATAGTTGCTGAAACTTTGGGATGTCGCTGGGAGGCATAGTGGGGGCGGGAAGGATCGTCGGGACGGAGATGTTCATCGGCTTCTTCGCCCACAACAGATACGTGAAAAGCGTATAGAGAGCATGAGCGCCCGTGGTGATCTCGAGAAGGGAGATGGGGAGATGTCTTGCGCCTCGCGCTATACATTGCAAGCAGAACCAGCCGGCTTGGAGAGCGACAAGTAGCTTCGCAAGCCCATCCGCCTTGCTTTTGTCTTTGATGTCTTCTTTTGATATTCGCGTCATGACTGCCGGAGCACGTTCGGCGAGGAAGAGCAGGCCATCGGGCGTAAGGGTACGACGCTTGACTTGGTGGGAAGAAACCGAGCTTTGTTGAAGTCGATCGCGTAGCCGCCCATAACAACGTAGAAACCGTGGATGAGCTCCCAGTCCGCGCCAAACGGAGGTAATGGGGCATTTATCTCGACCTGAAACTTCGATAAAGGACATACAAGAAACAGGAAAAAGACGCACATCAGGTACCTCCGACCGTCCACCCAGCCCAACGAGTTTTCGAAAAGACCTCCATATCGAAACGGTCTTCTTCTTCCATTTCGACCGAGCGAGTTGATTGACTACACGCTGGGCACTGGAGTACTGGTTCCAAGCGATGAAGGTGACGATCTCGGGCGCCATGAGACCGACACCCAGCCAAAGTATCTTTCGCATGAATTGGCGCGCCCCCGCCGCTGGCTCGGGAATGTTGAGATGGATAGCCGTCCAAACACACAAGCCGAGCGTGAAGACGCAGCTCGACACCAAGGTATATGTGCCCCTTGTCGTAGCTTCGTCGACCCACCAAGAAGGTCTGAAAAGCGTAAGAAAACAGGAAGAAGGTGGGAGAAATTGCGCACGACATCGATTGCTTTCTCAAGCTTGATTAGACGTTGGGGACGATTCGAGAAGAGGAGAGAAGTGCTGTATGCTGGTTTAAATGGGACCGCAATTCATCAGCACTGTCGGCCTGACAGAGAGAAATAGTACCTTGATTGGGCGACTACTTAGGCGCTCGGTGGCGTTGCGATGCGTAACCTGCCGACTGTTGCAGCCTTCTAATTTGGTGGCAGGTGGAGTGGGCTGGGGGGCCACATAATCGCATGGAGGAGTTCATGACTTCTGCCCCAGATGGAGGTTGGGATCAAGCGGATGGAGGTGTGACGGTCAACCAAATTCTTGACCAGTACTAGTACATCGAGTCTGAATCTAAATGCCGCCACTCACGGATACTTTCTCGTCACTCTTCAAGCCATAGCAGCCCCACCCGCAACGCCTTCTGCTGACTCTTATCGTGGAGTTGGCCCGCGGACCCAGGTGAAATGCGAGCCTCTCCATAAAACAAGGCGCTTCAAGGTGTACAAGCTCCACACTCCTTCTCGTACACGATGGCAGCTGCAAAAGAAGTCTCACGTCTGAAGACTGTCGCTTCCCCAACAACTTCACCTGGAGACCCATCCCTTCAAACCCTCACGTATGTTTCGCTCGCTGTTGTTTCTTATTGTCCATAACGCATTCACAGGTCTGCAAACCGCAAACTCGACAATCCGCTTCGGGGGATACCGCGAGAACGACTACTCAGCGATGTCGAGATGTTTGCGGGGGAGCAGGGACTGGAGGACATACTGCCCGAGCTGAGGAAAGGCGCGTTGGTTGCGCAGGACCCGGAAGGCATGTGGTCATAGCTTCTCTGTGAACATCACTAACCATCTGCCTAGCATTTAAGAACGTAGACATGCTCGAAGAAGAGGACAAATACCATATTCGGCGAGAAACTGCCCACAAGTATAGTCAAACTTGGCGCCTGTACTACGTGAACAACAATTATCGTCACCTCGCTTGGTTATAGAGTGCTGAAGACAGTTCTTTTAGATGGTCATTATGTCTTCCCTCGCTGCAGCTGTCCAAGGAATGGACGAGTCTGTCATTGTGCGTGTCGTACTTCTCATGTCCGCGCCACTGGCTCATCAAACCTCTTAGAATGGTGCTCAGGTATCAGCTAGCTTGCATTTCAATCTAAACATCTAACTCGTGGTCCAGATACTTTACCCACAACAGTTTGGTATTGGTAGTAACAGTCGTTGGTGACATTATTGTTTCATCTTCCTCGCGTTGACCACTTGTTATAGAACACGACTCATGGCTCGTTGGCCTTGTTAACTCGGCGCCTTACTTGTGCTGTGCCCTCATCAGCTGTTGGCTAACGGATCCATTAAACAAGGCGCTTGGACGCAAACGAACCATCTTCTTCACCTGCGCAATAAGTTTCGTTACTTCAACTTACTTGCATATGGAGTGCGGTCACCAACTTGAATACATGGTGGCACCTTTTCATTGCGCGATTTGTGCTGTAAGTAGAGCCAATCTTCGCAGTCGTTTGTATCCTGATCGCTTTTAGTGGCTTTGGCATTGGTCCAAAGGTAATTTATTCCCTTGAGAAGGGGCTAGCAAAGCAAAGATCATAGAGTTAGTCGTCCCTAGCTGGCACGCTGTCAATGTTCCCAAAACTATTCTGTTACTCTGTACTTCATCTTGAAATCTGACGTGTACTTCGCTATATATTTTCGTGCCAACACACGTCATCGCAATAGGTATAAGTACTGGCAGTACTCCTACTGCTCCGAGCCGTACCGCCATTGAAGACTGACCTGCCATATGATACCTTTGGCAAGTTAAGTGCTTTCCCTGCCTTTCAACTCTTCTGCCACCTCAATATCCTCCCACATATTGTCGAGACGATCACGAATATGCCTAAGATGTAGGCCTTCAAGTTTTTCAACCACCAGTAACATTAGACGCGGAGAACAGATAACTTGCGGGGCAACTCACCGTCATCTTGATCTGTGCCGTATTCCTCCTGGCGACCCCAATTCCGATTTCGCTCCCATCTGAGCGCAAAAGAGCCCGCGTCAACACCAAGCACGTTGAGTGTCGGATACCGTTGCGTGATGGACTGGCGAATGGTGCGAAGCTTTTGCACGGTGAGGCCAGGAAGACAGCCACGGCGACTTGATAGCCAGGTCAAGGAAAGGGTCTGCAGCGTCGGCGTGAGAAGCGTAGCAGGGATGGAGGCCAGTTCTTCGAGATAAGCTATAGCCTGCGTGGATCAAGTGTTTCTGCTCAGCAAGGGGACACAAGGCGACATACTACACTGTGTCCGTCTGGTGTGACTTCATCCATATGTGGCATGGCACGTAATGCCAGATGCTTCAAAGCAGGAAAGGCGTTTGTGAGCAGTTGGAGGCCCGCAGGCTGGACGAGCTCAAGTGCTCAACATGCACATCTAGAAGTAATAAGGATGCACTTTGAAGGCGGCGTGATGAAATGAAGGAGAAGAATGGTTCGCTCTCTGTTCTCCGCGAGTACGAGTATCTGCACAAGAGAATGCGGAGCTGCGTGGCGCGCCGAATAAAGGCCTCCATCAAATGACGAGACACTGTGGAGAGCTTTTTGACACAAGCCAGCGTCGCCCCAAACCCATTGACCACGTCCGCAGCTTGAGCAGCGTCCACGTCGCCAATAATGTGGAGTTCTTGGATGTTCGGGCATTTGCGGAGTAGAGCGCTGAAGCAAGTATCATTCATGGCAGTAATAGAGAGATGCGTGAGTTGAGGAAATGTGGCGATGGAGTCGAGGGTCGTGTCCCCAGCAGGTAAAGTACAGCGAAGTGACAGTTGACGAAGCGTAGAGGGATTGAGCAATGGTAGATATGGGACAAGGTCATCGCCGCCGTTGGGATAGCTGTAGTTACTGGTTAACGAGAAGTTCCGGAGCTGAGCAAGCAGGAGGGCCCGGGAGACCGCCGTCTCAGTTGGTAATGGCCCCCACTGGCACATATGCTCGATCTGGAGTGTCCGGAGCCTGGGTAAACAGAAGATTTTCCGAAATTCGAGGTCCGTGAGCGGTAAATCAACGAGCTCGAGAGACTCTAACTGCTCGAAGCGCTCGATTTTGGAAAAGATGGTTGTCATTAGCCAGGAGGCGGCATTGCGGTCGTCGTCTGTCGTGTCGGCTAAGCGCAACATCCATGGTAGCCAAGGCCGGATCCGACAGGAGCGAACGAGGGGGGAGATATGTTTGGAGCACCAGAACTCGAGCCTTTCTGGCTCGGCTGGGGTCGGTATGTGGTATTCCAGCATTTCAAGTTTTCCCCGCAAAGGATCTGTTTTATACGGCACGAAGTTAAAGTGGGAGAAGCGCAAGGGTCGTGCCAGCGCAGCAAACGTCCGATTGGTCATGAAGATGGCGGGTAGGGACTCCCTGGGAAGGCGATTAAATATCTCCAGCCAGAGTTCGGAAGGGAGTGTCGAGGTATGCTGCATGATGGGCAGCCTTGTCGTTGTGGCATCTCTTCCTCCATCCAGCGGCATCCAGCTTCAGGTTGTGAGAGGCAACGGCCGTTGTCTTAGGGCCTAACCTAACAGGATACGAGTTAGCAGTGTTTTGTCGTTGGCGAAACGGAAGCGGGATCTGGGTGTGACATCACCACCATCCGTTCTTTCCTCTGCACTCCCATGTCATCGACCAAGCCAGCCTCTCTCCAGCTCAAAAACACGACCCCAATGGAGGTTATGACAACTATCCTGCTGCTGGAGAGTATAGTACACGGAGAGAAGGGCTGAAGAAGAAGGAGGTCGAGGAGAAGATATGGCAAGATGCTTGAGAGCCTGAGGATTGGTGCGTTGTCCTAACTCTTGGCGCGCAGTACTCTTATGATTCGCTCAAGCTTTTCGTCGTCTTACATTCGCTCTCCGGAAAAGCCAGCACAGCAACTCTGGCACGACAAATACTGTGTCGTCTCAACCGTTCCGCCAGACGCATCGGCTCTTCTCCACACACCTATAGTGCCCGCTTATCCCCTCTAGTTAGAGGGGCAAGGGGGGGGGGGGTTCTCCCTCTAACTAGAGGGGTTTAACGCGATTGCCTATGCTTTCTTAAACTTCCTTGTGAGTGTTAGTGGACATCCTGCTCAGCGGAGGCCCAAGTCCTCAGAGGTTAGTGGACTCATCATGAGTGTTGGTGACACCACACTCGCAGCTATCTTCCTCAGCCATCAAACCTCTTTCCAGCTGTGATCCCGACACTACCCGACCCCCCGCCCACTGTCCCGATCTGATGGCGCATCAAAAGATCAAAGTTGTGCGCTTCATTTAGATAAGCCTAGATGTATCAATAAAAATTGAATATCTAAAATATTAAGGAAGATATAAGACTTTTGATCTAATGATCTGCGATCATAAAATCAAAATTGTAAAGAAGGTAATTCTAGCCAGTAATGTAAAGAAATCAAGTTGAAATTCATTCTCTCTAATAAAATATAGGCTTATGATGTATGTAATATGTTCACTGAAGTTAGTGGACAACATATGTATATAGATAGGTATATAGGAAGTTTCTGGACATATATCCATACTATAGGTTATTATGACTATTCATATACCATATTGAAGCCCTTTCATAATGATTTCATTGAGCAGTTATCTACTAACTGTCCTAGGCGCAGAGCGAGAGGGACATCTTACCTATATTTGTCAGTATGTACAGATACCATAGTAGTAGGTAGGTCTATATACCCTACCACATGATCCAGATGCCAAATTTAAAGAGGTAATGATGTTACAGATCCTATAATGCCCTTCCACTCTAATGAGAGGGGATAAAAGGGCATTATAGAACTAGCTACCACCACAACTACAAGTATACTTTCCTGAGTCCATAACTACTTACTCTATCATATATGCACAATACGTGGTAGTAGTGCACAATATGTGGTATATTATGTTATCCCAACCAGAGGTGTCTACTAAGCCCCTGTCCACTAACTTCTGTATTCGGTCTATACCAATCAGTGTGTATGAGGGTGTGTACCCTACTAGATATCTTGGATATCATGTACGGAATAGTATATAGTGGTACACTACCCCACCGTATCATGGTGGTCTAACTTGACTAGTGTGTCCACTAACTTGGTATCTAGTGTCCACTAACTTCCAGGGTACAAAAGTTAGTGGACACCAGCCTATATTAATTAGTGTGTACAGAGGGTATGTACCCTACCAGATATCTTAGATATCATGTACAGGATAGCCTATGATGGTGTCCTACCTTACTATGACCTAACTTGAGTAGTGTGTCCACTAACTTCCATACCCCGGAAGTTAGTGGACACCTAGTATATTAATTGGTATGTACAGGATGTATACCCTACTAAATATCTTGGATATCATGTACGGGATAGTATATAGTAGTACACTACCCCACTGTATCATGGTGGTCTAACTTGAGTAGTGTGTCCACTAACTTGGTACCTAGTGTCCACTAACTTCCAGGGTACGGAAGTTAGTGGACACCAGCCTATATTAATTAGTGTGTACAGAGGGTATGTACCCTACCAGATATCTTAGATATCATGTACAGGATAGCCTATGATAGTGTCCTACCTCACTATGGCCTAACTTGAGTAGTGTGTCCACTAACTTACATACCCCAGAAGTTAGTGGACACCTAGTATATTAATTAGTATGTACAGGGTGTATACCCTACAAGATATCTTGAATATCATGTATGGGATAGTATATCATAGTACACTACCCTACTGTATCATAAAACTTGAGTAGTATGTCCACTAACTTCAGTATCTTGTGTCCACTAACTTCCAGGGTACGGAAGTTAGTGGACACCAGTCTATCAATCAGTGTGTATAGGAGGGGGGTGTACCCTACCAAATACCTTGGATACCATGTATGGGATAGTATATAGTGGTACACTATGCCACTGTATTATGGTGGCCCAACTGGAAATATGTCCACTAACCTTCTGGGTACCAAAGTTAGTGGATCTCTCCTCAGAGTTAATAGACATTACACCCAGTCAGTTGACCATATAAGGGTTCAGGTTTGGCTAGGTTTAGACATTGATGTATTCTGACCCTGACCCAGACAGAACCTACCCTGAAATTCTATGAGTTGACTCTGACCTACAGCTCTATCCTACAGGCTATGAGCATCTATGGAATCCTGTGAGTTTCTTCCAGGGAATATATACCATACTATGTTATTGTGCTTGCCTGTTTCAATATGGCTAGAGAATCGGTTAAACCCTCTAAGCCTGGATAATGTCTACCAACTCTCTAAAAGTTATTGCATATTAATTGTGTAATAACAGAAGCAATAATACCTTAAAATACATAGGCCTGGTGGTATATCCATGGGTGTATGTGTACTATACCCCAGATACTTATTCTGGAAGTTCAGATGGACTCTGAGACATTATTCATGTGCCAATAGGTTGGCGTCCACTAACAAAAATGTCGTTGCACATCAATTGGTTAATAACAAAAGCAATACTGGGTCAAATCATATGGGGTTTGCAGCATATTGATTCGAATACATGCCCGATGATGTGTATCAATTTGTAAGCGATTCCGAGAGATATGTGAAAATTAGTGTGAACGCAATATGCCTTTACAATTCAAGTTCTGAACCAAGGTAAAATCATGTATCTATTTTCTTGACAAAGTCAGAATCGAAATAGATGTATGTAGTATACCTAGTACATCTGTTTTGAGAGTTTAGATGAGCTCTAAGACCATTATTTATGCACCAATAATAGTTTGGCGTCCACTAACAAAAATGTCGTTGCACATCAATTGGTTAATAACAGAAGCAATACTAGGTCAAATCGTATGGGGTTTGCAGCATATTGATTCGAATACATGCCCGATGATGTGTATCAATTTGTAAGCGATTCCGAGAGATATGTGAAAATTAGTGTGAACGCAATATGCCTTTACAATTCAAGTTCTGAACCAAGGTAAAATCATGTATCTATTTTCTTGACAAAGTCAGAATCGAAATAGATGTATGTAGTATACCTAGTACATCTGTTTTGAGAGTTTAGATGAGCTCTAAGACCATTATTTATGCACCAATAATAGTTTGGCGTCCACTAACAAAAATGTCGTTGCACATCAATTGGTTAATAACAGAAGCAATACTAGGTCAAATCGTATGGGGTTTGCAGCATATTGATTCGAATACATGCCCGATGATGTGTATCAATTTGTAAGCGATTCCGAGAGATATGTGAAAATTAGTGTGAACGCAATATGCCTTTGCAATTCAAGTTCTGAACCAAGGTAAAATCATGTATCTATTTTCTTGACAAAGTCAGAATCAAAATAGATGTGTGTAGTATACCTAGTACATCTGTTTTGAGAGTTTAGATGAGCTCTAAGACCATTATTTATGCACCAATAATAGTTTGGTGTCCACTAACAAAAATGTCGTTGCACATCAATGGGTCAATAACAGGAGCAATACTGGGTCAAATCTAATTCCAAATAAAATCATGCGCCCGGTTTCTCAACAAAATCACAATTGACTTAGATGTATATGATACACTTAGGACTTCCAACCTGAGAGTACATCTTGAGCTTTACAGAATTATTTATGCACTGCTAATTGGTTCTACTGACTTTCAAAAGTTATTGTGAGCAATACTATATTTATCCTCAGGAGAAACTCACAGGATTTAATAGATGTATATAGCCTGAAGCATACAGCCGGTGTCCACTAACTTCCGGGGTATAGAAGTTAGTGGACACACTAGCTGGGTTGGGCCATATGATACAGTGGGGAGAGTATACCGCCATATATCATCCCGTACATCATATTCCAGATATTTGGTAGAGTACACACCCTATACATACTAATTGATATAGACTGGGTGTCCACTAACTTCTAGGGTATGGAAGTTAGTGGACACTAGGTACTAAAGTTAGTGGACACCTCCAGTTGGGATACTATAATACAGTGGGGTAGTATACAGCCATATACCATCCTGTACACCAATTGTATACCAAGGTATGTGGTAAAGTTCACACCCCTCCACACACCAATTAATATACTGAGGTGTCCACTAACTTCCTAGGTATAGAAGTTAGTGGACACCATACCTAGGAAGTTAGTAGACACCTCCAGTTGGGATACTATGATACAGTAGCGTAGTACACAACCATATACTATCCTATACACCAAGTATCTGGCCAGGTACATACCCCAGTATAGACCAATTAATATACTGAGTGTCCACTAACTTCTGTACCCTGGAAGTTAGTGGACACAGTAGCCAAGTTGGGCTACTATGATACAGTGGGGATAGTACACCATCATATATCATCATGTACATGATATTCAAGGTATCTGCTAGGGTATCTCTGTACATACTGATTAATATACTGAGTTGAGTGTCCACTAACTTCTGTACCCTGGAAGTTAGTGGACACACTAGCCAAGTTGGGCCACTATGATACAGTGGGGATAGTACATCATCATATATCATCTTGTACATGATATCCAAGATATCTAGTAGAGTACATAACCTATACCTACTGATTAATATAGACGGGGTGTCCACTAACTTCTGTATCTAGGAAGTTAGTGGACACCTTCAGTGAAGATATTATGATATGCTACATCTCATGAACTGCTACTACATATAGTGCCTGCGTGATAGAGTTAGTTATAGACTCAAGAAAGCATACTCATAGTAGTGGCAGTAGCTATTTCTATGGTATTTTAGAGAGGGAAAGGCATTATAGAATCTATAATCTCATTATACCTCGTTAAATTTAGTATCTAATATCCGGATCATTTAGTAGCATATATGAACCTACCCTACCTACTACTATATATGACATCTGTCTACCAACTTGTAGCCTGTGTCTAGAAAAGTTAGTAGATAACTGCTCAATGAAATCATTATGAAAGGGCTTCAATATGGTATATGAATAGTCATAATAACCTATAGTATGGATATATGTCCAGAAACTTCCTATATACCTATCTATATACATATGTTGTCCACTAACTTCAGTGAACATATTACATACATCATAAGCCTATATTTTATTAGAGAGAATGAATTTCAACTTGATTTCTTTACATTACTGGCTAGAATTACCTTCTTTACAATTTTGATTTTATGATCGCAGATCATTAGATCAAAAGTCTTATATCTTCCTTAATATTTTAGATATTCAATTTTTATTGATACATCTAGGCTTATCTAAATGAAGCGCACAACTTTGATCTTTTGATGCGCCATCAGATCGGGACAGTGGGCGGGGGGTCGGGTAGTGTCGGGATCACAGCTGGAAAGAGGTTTGATGGCTGAGGAAGATAGCTGCGAGTGTGGTGTCACCAACACTCATGATGAGTCCACTAACCTCTGAGGACTTGGGCCTCCGCTGAGCAGGATGTCCACTAACACTCACAAGGAAGTTTAAGAAAGCATAGGCAATCGCGTTAAACCCCTCTAGTTAGAGGGAGAACCCCCCCCCCCCTTGCCCCTCTAACTAGAGGGGATAAGCGGGCACTATAGGTGTTAGATTGGGTCGTCGCGGACAAGGAAGGCTGAAAGCGAGGAGTCTTTTCAGCGCTGAACCCATGCCAACTACAAATGCAAAACTCCCCTCATCTGCACCCGCGTAAAGCATTTGCTCTTCCCCGCCGACCTCGAGGTGGATGACTGCCTGGCCGATTATGACTCGAATCCAAGGCCAAACGAACAAGCAAACGAACATGCAACTCACCAATCTCCCATTCCTCCTCTTCCTATTCACCTCCTCCACCTCCGCCTCCATCCCCATTGCCCGCGCTTGCCACCTCCGCCATCCGCGTCAGCTTTCGGCCATCCTTCCCAAAACGGCCAGATCACGTGCCACGCCGGCCTCCGCCGCCGGAAGGCCGTCGATTTACTCTCAATACATCTCGACGATTGCGACGCTCAATCGAGTGTATCTCAGGCTGCTTCCCGTCGAGTTCAATCAATACCCCCTCGTCCTCATGCCCTTCCTCTGTCTTCAAAGCCAGACATGCGCAGATGTCGTTTTTTGCCGCCTGGTCACTCAAGTCGGCCACGCAACAGACCATCTTGCAGCAGGGCGAAAACATTGCGTTAAGGTGTACAAGCAGTGTCTCCTTCTGCCAAACATCATACCCCTCACGTCTAATCTTTTCCCTGGCGCATTTTGACCGTCATCGGCGGGTCCGTTCTCCAACGTTTGCCGATGCGCCTTTCGTCGAGCACGTTTTCTGGGCAGCCGACCGACACGCCAAAGATCTCGATGTATCTCTCCCGGTACAGCAGCTATGGCTTCCGCTGTCAAAGCGGGGGGTCTTTATCGAGCACATCTTCTGGGAAACAACAACGGGCATGTAGGCTTCGCGCTGCATAGCAGTATCCAGGCTCGAAAGGGTGTTCCATCATGAAGATCAGGGGTTATGGAGATGATGGAGAATGTCTGCTTGAGCATGCTGTCTCACCATCGTCGGCCTTCACGTCTGGTGCCACCGGTTTAGAACCAATCCAACGATACTCTATCCAAGTTTTTTGCTAGTCTCTTTTCCTTTATCACTACATTTTTCTCTGTTTATGGACCAAGAATTGAAGCATCTTTATATATCTAATGTTGTACAACAACTCAAGCATATTATTGGTCAACACCCCAGTCTTTCAGCTTCTTGCACTCCCAGGATTTCCGTGTTGGATGGCCATTTGGCATCACAACTTCGACGCCAAACGTTCTCTGCAGGTGCTGCAAGTCGCGGATGTCCGCGTCCGGAATACCACATGGCGCAAACTCGACGACAAAGCGCGCGAGCTTCAGTTTGCGCTGAACAGGGTCGGAAGACATGTCCGCCGCGGCTGCACGCATGGCGATTCCGTCCAGGAACGGACGGATGTTGACCGGGGCTGGCGTGGAGGCGGGGATGACGAGGGCGAACGATTCGAGGTTGGAGAGGAGGCTCAGCTCGGCCAGAGACGTGGAGCACTTCTGTTCCTCGTCGCGGCTCATGGGAAATGCGGTCACGGTCAGATGTTTGACTGGGTGGACCGTGTGTGAGGTGAGGAGAGCATGGAAGGCGGCGTAGCTGGTCGGCGTGAGGAGAGACAGCGAGGTCACAGTCGCAGCGGAACGCAGGACACCGGGGTCGATAGAGGACTCGATGATGAAATCATCGAGGTCGGAGAGGCAGAGAGTTGTTAGGGCAGGCAAGAGGAGGTGGTCGAAAATGGAAGTGCTGTCGTCGACCACCAGCGACAAAGTTGACAAGCAGGGCAGGAGTAAGTTAGAGGCTGGTAGGTCTGCTTCTTCGAAGAGTGAAGGGAGCGACAGCTCCTCCAGCGCTTCCAGATAAGTGAGGAGAGTGAGGATTTCAGTATACGTGGCTGGACGAAGGATGGTCAGTTTTTGCAGTTGATGGGTGGGGAATGAAAGCGGCAAGACCAGGCTGGGAATGCTGATGGACAGCTCTCGGAGACTGGGGGCATTCATGAATACGGGGTTCTCGCCGGTTTCGATCATGCTCCAAACATCAAACACGAACTTGGTCAGCAGCGGAAAGTCGAGGTGTGCATTTGGCGTGTCTGAATCGGGAGCCGCCCAGTTGAAAGGCCACTTGATGCAGGACAGGGATGCTTCCACCCATTGAGAAGCAGAGTCAAATATGCATCGAGGGAGGTTGTCCGCGTTGTCTTCGGGAATCGAGAACGCAATCGGCAGTCCTTGTGCGCGCCGCAAGAAGTGCTCGGAGAGAGTGTGTCGCTTGCCCCCGTTGATTGAGTAGGAGGTGCGCGTCCAAAGGTGCGGGTCCGCGACAGCAGTCCGCCGCCAGCGTTGGCAGACAGCGGTAATTCGTAGTAGCATGCGGTTAACGTCGAGGGAATGTGAAGACGATACTGCTGCCGCAAAGATGTGGCAGAGTATTTCGGCAGGGAGAGTGTTGATTGGGTAGACGACAGTAGATAGGTCGTCTTGGAGCGCTTCGAGACGGTCCTCGAGGATTTGTAGCTGGGTTTTCAGTTTATGAATCGTCTTTTTGACCTGCTCTGCCTCGTCTCTGAGTTGAGAGATGATTGCACCATCAAGAGGAGGTTCTGGTCGGCGAGGGGCACGGAAGAACGAGAGCGCCTGGACAGGATCGCGGCCAGACATGACAAAAAAGCTGAAGCAATCTTGACGGTCAAGCGGTGAACAGAGCAAAGGTTGGAACATGACTTACGGAGGACTCGAGGCACCCAAGTGCAGAGCTGCCCAAGATTAGAACAAGAACGGGAAGAGACTTTTCTGCGGTCTGGTGGAAGTTGTTGTCAACGAAGATCGTCGCGTGTCACACGTCATCACTCTCTCTTCATCTCCACCACCCTCGGTCAATGCCGTGGCTCAGAATGCCCACGAGCCGGCCTTTCACGATCCACGCATCGCCAAAGAGGCCTGCAGGCCAACTCTAGAGTACCGAGAGAGAGAGACATGGGTGACGGCACAAGTGCAGAGGCGAAATCTTGGGTGTCGAAGTGTGTATTCTGAGCGCTGCCCATTGAATGTCTCTGCTCACCCATACGCTTCCAGCTTGTTCACTTCCCGCGGGCACAATGGCCGCCCGCATTCACCCTTCCACACCGCTGCGACATCCCCGTCTTCGACAACGAGATTTACAAGAGCAGTCATTCGCGCTACGACTGGCAAGCGCAGACGCCAACTCGTGTGGAGGGATTGGGAAGCCGCTGGGGCGGACACTGGGAGAGAGCAGCGTGTGCTTTCAAGTGCCTTCGATGTTTATTCCCTGCTTGACTGGCCAAACAGTTCCGTCACGGAAATCTTCAGCCTGAGAGCATGGGTGCGCGCCAATACTAATTGGGAGTCTCTGCTCACGCATATCCTTCCAGCCTGCCTCGCTAGTAACAGCTCTGCTCCGCGGGCACGATCGCCACCCGCGTTCACCCTTCCACACCGTGACCGCTGCGGCATCCCCGTCTTCGACAACGACAGCAGACATTTGCGCTACGACTGGCAAGCGGAGACGCCAACTCGTTTGGACGGCTCGGGAAGCCGCTGGGACGGCGGATCCTGGGAGAACAGCGTGCGTTCTAAGTGCTTTGAAGAATGATTTGCCCCGCTTGACTGGCCAGACAGTGTTTCGATCTGGCGAAAGCCTGCGGCCTGAGAGCATGGATGTGCGTCAATGCTTCTCCGTGAAGCAGTGCATCACACACCAGCTCAGACCTGCGCACCAATCTTCGCTCGCCGGACTATGTAGGAGGGAGGGAGTTTATTGTGGCTTGACGAGATATCGAGGCGAGTAAAGCTTACCACTCTTTCATCTCTCTTGTACTTATCTATTTTAGCTCCACATTTCCTGCGTGTTTTAATCGACATACTATATACTCCCGCTCGTCAAGCTGTTTGCGATACTGCTTGCCTTTCTATTGGCATCACAGCCCCCAGCAATACTCTTTCCGACAGTGTCGTTTCACGCTTACAGTATGCGTAGAGAACCACGATAAGTTGGTCGAGCAACGCTCCATCTATTCCCCCATGCCCTCAGGCTCAATCCCGGTTCTTCAGTCGTGTTCATCCACTTACAGCGCGTCACGCTGGCGCTCGTCTTATGCCCACACAACCTGGCTTTGCAGAACACACCAGGGCTGTACATGTTTCGCCCATACTGGAGGTGCTTCTTTAGTAGTTTGTGAACGACGGGAACGGAATTCCACTCCAGCAACCCTCGAATCGTCGCGAACGTGTAGAGCAAAGGCTTCTGTCGGCAGGCCCGTAGGGTAGGTGATTATCTCCCGCATATTGTTCATGCAATCCTCATATTATATTCAGTGTCGAACACGGTCGTTGCAAGGGGAAACGAATCATGATCTCGCTCGGCATGTGATGCGGCGGCGGCACAGTGCTTGCCACTAACGCAGCCCGAAGGGATCCGGAGTCAACGACCGGCGGCGATGTTGATTCGGGTGAGCGAACGGCGAGCAGGCGAGCAGCAAGAAGAATACGGGCTGCGTGACCGCGCCGGCTGGGTGCGTGTTTTATGTTGTGGTTCTTGCGAGAGTTGACTGATGGGAATGATTTTAGATTCAACTGGGCGAGCGTGCGCCTCCGGTAGAGGAGAGGGAACTGGCGCCGGGCGCTCGTGTTCCTGCTGGTGGACAGCGGACTTGGATCTACGCGGGCCACTCTTCTTAGTCCTGAGATTTGTTTGATTGCAGTGGTTTTTGACCCAGGGTATGGAATGGAATCTGAGTTGCAATCTTACATACATATGCAGCTGAATACGGCTCAGATACATGCCAGTCGGTACACCAAAAGCGCATAGTAAAGGACAGAAAGTATTGAGAGCACAAACGGCATCGAAGGTAGCAAAAACCGGCCCAACAGCCAATGTCAGCCATAGCATGCTAGCCAATCCAACGCCATCGCCAGCATGACATCTGCTGCAACTCTCCAAAACCGCGAGAAGCATACCGTCATATCGCCCACAATCCTTGATTGGCAAACAGGCTGAACGCCCTTGGCCGCTGGCAACTTTTGCAAGGCGGGTGACGATGACCGGGCCAACGCAAGGCCCAAGGAATGGCGGGAGGCAGAATTCTTCCCCACGACATCGAAAGGCAGAAGATTGCGTGCCCGCGCACAACAATATCCACCGCGTATTGCCCAGGTCTGGCGAAAAAGACTTTGACAGTCTTTGAAGCGACGTCGGAGAAAACGGTGTCGACGAGGGCCTTCCCGGGCACATCGTCGCCCGGAAAGAATTGAGTGGCACAACATAGCGGTACTGCACCACCGGATACACTGGATATACGCGTATGTGGGGCATGGGCAGCGCTGCAAAGTCGGGGCCTGAGTGTGACGTGACGAGTGTGACATCCGGAAGAAGGGTCGCTGGTGTCGGCGGTGCATGCGCGGAGGCTTCGAACAGGAAGGGAGGGCACTTGGGGAGGTGTATAGATGTCGGAGGATAACGCGGGCGAGCTATCGGTGTCTCCCGTTGACGATGATTGTCTTCTCTTAAGTCGGGGGCAAATGTAGTCGAGCGAGAGGTTGTTGGTGCAATATTCGGGGCGAAAGAAGTGGTGATGGCGTGCGGGGAGTCGTGTTTGCGACAGCGAAGATGAGGCGGTATGGTCGTAGTCGGGAGACAGTTTGGCGCAAAAGGAAACGATGTATGAAGACGGAGTCGGGGCGGCATTGCGCGGGAGCTACCAGAATGAGCACGACGACCATGAATGTGGACGAATAACACACCTGCCGCCGTCCAGACATTTCCTCCGACCCCAGCCATTCATGCGCTCTGGCATATCGGCGGCATCGACACCATTCGATTCTTGGCTCGCACCCTTGCCACTCGTTGACACCCTTCAGTTCTTGATACGGTCCCGATGCTGGTATCTTAGGCTTGCCTGGAAGCATAGATATTGCTGGCGAGACGAAAGGACCTGCGAGGACGATTGACGCCGTCATCTCAATTCCACTTGAGTCTTGACTACTTGCGTGACGAAAGGATGTCTCGCGCTTCCTACAGAACGGACATGAGTGGTATGGCCAATGCGAAAGAAGGCCACGCACCATACAGTCAGCTTGCGACGGGCTTTCAGTCCGAGTCCTGCTACATATATCTCTGGCTCCGTTGTCGATATTCGTTGTCGTCCAACAGCTGGCGGGGCGAGGAAGCGATATGCCGCTCAGAAACGAGCTGAGGGAGCGGTGTCGAGCGGGTTGAGGCGGCAGAGGAGAGTGGCGGGGGACATCTGCGGCAAGAACACGTCAGACGAAGAATGGGGGAGGAAAAGGTCGTGTTTTGACGCACCAAGAAGACCATTATCTGCTCATCCCGCTCAATGGTACAGGCCCCATTCTTCTCGAAGTACCCCGTTATCGACTTTTGTGGCACTGGCGCCACGTCACATGAGCCAGGAGGCGACCGCTGGCCTGGACAAGCGGGCAGTCAGTAAGCCATCGTGTTGCTGGTTGTCCAACACACTAAATGGTTCCGAGGGCTTGCGTATGACGAGGGCGGATGTGTGGGGGAGAGGAAGGACGGGTTGCAAAGGGCGGGAGGACAAAGTAGCTAGCCGTGGTGGGGGAGCGGAAGAAGAAGTGTCACGCGCCAATCTTGATTCAGATAATCAGATTCCTCCCCGGCTTTGGGCGCCTATATGACCGCCACTCTCTAGTTCTTCAGTCTATGCCAGTGTGTATTCTTCCGAGTCAAGTTCAATGCTACAAATGTGGTATATACACGCCCCAATTAATCTGCGCAAACGCAGACGTGGGTAATGCGCGCAGTGTTGTAAGCATCAGAACCAGGAGCAAAATCCGGGCAAAGCAGTAGAGGAGGATGCCGGCAAGAAAGGGGGGCATGGAGAGAAATGCGAACACTGCGAGGATTTCATTCACCCAGTTAGGGAGCGCGTCCCCGTAGTTCAACTTGACCGGGATGATGAGCAGCAGAACAATGCTGGGGACGCCGGGGATGACAGCAATTGAGAAGGCGGACAGGCGCCACAGTTTGAGCTCGGCCGTGCTAGGGAATTGTGACGACCAGGCGGCACAATGGAGCGCACCAAAGAAAGAGCCGCACAACAACTCGAGGATGGCGCATGTGGCCTGATAACTGAGCGGCCATTCGTCGTCCGCTGCACACCAGAATGTGGGGACGTGGTACGACAGGCTGGGGTCGTAGTCAATCTGACCACCGAGTATTGCGTGCAGGACATGACTCAAGACGTCGTTTTCAATTTTGACGTTTGAGTTTTGCTGGGGCGGGGGATTTTCGAGTGCATTCCTTCCCAAGTCCTCGAGATGAGCAATGAGTGGTTGTACAACGTTTTCTGCAACCAAATTCTGTGATTTTGGCTGTACAACAGGCGCCGCTGTGCTGAGACGGACGGGCTCTTTAACCCCAAGAGGCTTCCCCCACCAAACAAGTCGAGTGCATACGGTGACCGCTGCAAACGCGAGTGTGGAGATTTCGAGTTGGGAGATCGCAATATGTTCCGAGCGGCGGGAGAGGCATTGGGCAACAAACCATATCGCCTGGCAAAGCGCAATCCCTTTCGAAAACAGGTCGCCTTTGCTCTTGTCTTCGATCGTCGAGCGTGAGACGGCTTTGATTTCTGCGAGAACAGAGGGCGATTTGAGCTGCGCGTGGGTGACAATAGGATGCCCAGTGGAGTCGACGAAACCGCCCATGACAATGAAGAAGCCGTGAGTGAGCGAGATATCATACTCTGCAGAAGTTTGTAGCTAGTTATCAGCAGAAAAAGACAAGAGTAATTAATTGCACGCACGTTTTGCGAAATGATGGGCCATTAAGCGCTGCCGCAGCGCAAAAGCCAAAGATGAGCTCCGGGGCGACGAGCGCGACAGCCATGAGGGTAAGACGGCGTTGCAGGGGTCCAGTGTTATCCAGAACGTGCCATTTGACTGTAGCCCAGAGCCCAGGTCGTCCGTGAAGCGCGGCGGGTGGCGGAGGTGGAATGTTTGGATGGACGGCCACCCACACGCAGGCGAACAACGTTGTGAGGCAGCCTTGGATGATGTCGAAGAGGGTGCGCGTGTCGCTGCAGTTAGGGAGCGCTGGAAGTTGTGCTTCCGCGAGCTGGGAGCAATAAGCGGGAGGCGCGACCACGGAAGATGTGAGAGCCAAGAGGAAAAGCATTGCGGAGCCATTGAGTCGTTGACAAGACATATAGACACTGGACCAGGGATGGCAACCATGAGGATTTCACGCGTCTTTGGCGAGGAGTAGGTTCGACGGCTGGTGGCACCAGAGCCATGGGCAACAGCCAAGAATGTACCGGCGCTCGGGCCAGTTGTCGCAGACGAAAGTAAAAGTCAAGATCTTCGGCTGGGACTCCGGTGTGACGCGGAAGATGACGATCTTCTCTCTTCCCTCTTTCCTCTACCTCCAACAGGCGCCAGCGAAGCGTGCTGGCTCAACAACGCACGTCCTGCTTTGGATGTAGCTGACGCGAAGAAGGAAGACACGCTGGGTAACAGCGTCCGCGGCCAGGCACGTCAGCACCTTTGCCTTTTTCACTTTACTACTAACCGCCTGTTTCTTGCCAGACTCTTGCTCGACGGCAGCCATGCGGTACGGCAGCTGTTTCACGGTAGGATGTGGACGGGTAAATGGGTCAACGGGGCCAAGGTGCGTCCGCAAGCCTCTCCTCTGTCCCTGCTTGCTGACGACGTTTCGCAGACCAGTCCCCCATCCATCTGAGGCCAATAACATGCTACCCTTCGCCACAACACCATCTTTAGCAACTCTCTACGCTCTATGGACCACGCAATACCGCAGTAACGGGAGACAGAGCGTCTACCCGTAGAATGTCGCTTGACTAATCGAGGAGGGAAAAATGTCGAAATATGGCGGGAGGTAGCTCTGTGTGGTCTGAAGCGGAGGATGCTTCCTGTTAGCGCGTATGTGTGGCCAACGGTGCGTTTCTCTCCATCTTCGTCTCATTTGCTATGCTAACTTCAGTCGTCAGACTGCATACACAGCCTTCATCTTGTCGTAAACAGAGAGCAGGGGGGTCCGAGGCTTTCTCAAAAGCATTGGGCCAAATCTAAGGGCTGAGCGGGTGCGTGAAATGCGTCTTATTTGTCTCCTCACCGGCTCATTAGGCCTTTCATCCACCGCAACTCGACCTATCCCTTACCGCTATTACGTTCCTCCTCCATTTGAAGCTGGGGCCGAAATCCATTACCACCTCCACAACAATCCACTCAGGTGGTACATTCACAATAGTTACAATGTCGCTTCAATACACATCCCTTGTCCTCGCTCTATGTCCGATGAGCGGCACCACATCTGTTAAGATATTCACCGTTCTCTTGCCGCTCCAATTCTCGATTTGGGGAGCAAATGGTGTGGTTCGGTGAAGTCGTGTGTCTGCAGGCTGCTGGTGCAGCTGATATGCATTTTTCGAAGTCGGAGTCCGAGACTGGTTACATTTTGACTACCATTTTCCCCTACCAATTGTTTGCGTCGCTGGTTTACCTGCCGGACTCCCGTCGCGATTTTGGAGCCCATTCTGACTCTCGTGCAGTACCTTTCAAATTCGACGCTATAGCAACTGGGCCTGCCGCGAGAGCATGGATGAGTGACAGGAACTCCGAGAAATATTTTATTTGGGCAGTATTCTGTTGCAGAATATATTTCTACTCTGCTCACAAGTGAGGGATGTAGACACTCCAATCAACGTCTCTGAAGGCTGCAGCAGGCAGGGAACGTAGGGTGGATAAGGGTAAAACAAGGAGGATAATGCGAGCAAGCGAGTAGGTGCTGGCGACTATAATGAGTGCAACCTGCCAATGAGCATCTGAGATGAGGGTTGTCTGAATTTCCAGGCCTGCATAAAAGATGAGAATGAGGGGTGCCGCGACAAGGACGAGCGCTGCTGCGCGCCACAGCCACATCTCAGCGATGGAGGGGAAGGCCGTGGCCCACGCAATGCAGTGGATTGCGCCAAAGAGCGAGCCACACAGAAGTTGAGCGCATACAGCCATGCCCATTGATAGCACAGTAGAGAAGATTTGAAAGTCCTCGTAGGCTGCACACCAGAAAGTCGGCACGGCCACGTTGGATAGAGGGTCGTACTCGTACAGCGCGTATAAATTTGTGAATATCAGCTCAAATCGCTCGAAAGGTGTTGGGCCGCCACGGGAATATGGGAATAAGCGTCTCTCGCCGGCGGGGACAGATGTCACAGACAGCTTGAACGGGGTCCGCACATCGAGTGGTTTCGGCAGCCACAGTGCCCAGGTGAGAGCGTTGATCGTAGCAAATGCTAGCGTCGCAACTTCGAGCTCGGCGAGGGGAAGATGCTGGGCCCGCCGTGCGACGCATTGGGCGATAAACCAGAGGCCTTGACAAAATGCGAGGCCTTTCGAGAAGGCATCACCCTTACTTTTGTCCTCGATTTCCGATTCGGGCACCGCTTTGATTTCTCGCAGTACATTTCCAGTCATAATTTGCTTTTTGGTGACGATGGGGTGGCCATTGGCGTCGACGAAGCCGCCCATGACAATGAAGAACCCGTGCGTGAAAGAGACGTCGTATTCTGCCAACAGTTAGTTGATGCGCTTTCGCGCGTGAGTAACGCACCGTGAGCAAAAGCATGGGCCATTATTGCCTGCTTCCCGGCCAGTCCAATGATGAGCTCCGGCGCAATGAGAGCGACGACCATGAGCTTGAATCGGTGCAGTAACGGTCTATTGCCGTCAAGCAGACTCCACTTCACGCGGTTCCATACTCTGGCCCCCTTTCCAGGGCGCGCAGGTGTCGGTGGCGGGACATTGGGGTGCACAGACACCCAGATACACAGGAAGATAGTAACCAAGCAGCTCCAGATGATGTCGAATAGTCGGCGGCAGTCGTTTATGTCGCTACATTCATCTTTCGTGCTGCGGAGGTGGGCAAAGACGGTGGCGAGAAGGAACAGCATGTCTTGATAGCCAGCATGGGAGAGGCGCCGTATAAGTATAAGGCTGTCGAGCGCTTGCAGTATCGCCACATTGACGTTTGAGAGAGAAATAATGATGTGTGACACTCTCTTCCCCGCACGACCACCTTCTATTCATGTGCCTCTGCTCGACCATGCCAAGCCTCAGGACGGCGGGGGGAGTCATGCGATGCTATCCGGTTTGTGTTTGCTGCGTGCGTCTTGTCTTTTCCTGCCACAAAGACCACTTTTCTGACTTGTTACTTTACTTCAGCTAGACTAGACGGAAATCCTCTATCAAGGCGCAGACGATGGAGGAGCAGGTGAAGAATGAGTGGAAGGACATAGAGAGAAGGATTGGGGGGGCGCAAACAGGTGCGTTATTCATGAAGCGCGTCATTTGTGTGGTCACTAACTTCGTGCTGCGAATCGTGCAGCTACTAGTATTCCTCCAAGCTTCATCATCCATCGACTCTCCTTCGATTTTATACCCCCCAGGCTCTCGCTCGCTGCGATTAACCTTCGACTGGCTGCAGTCCCCCGCTTCCGTTGCCATTTGCAAACGATAGGAGGAAGGCCGGTGCCTGCAGCGCACAATGCCGCAACGATGTGTGGCCCTGGCAGTCGTGCAGCAAGGATGTGGGAACACTGGGAGCTGCCGCGCGGGATATACATGTGCCTAAAACGTGCGTCGAGCACCATTTCTACATGAGACTCGTTGCTAATACTTTCCGCAATCCATCCAGCTGCTCCATTCCCCGTTTATTCTCCACACACACACTTCCAGGCAACTATCGAGCACGCACCACCCCCTCCCCTCACCCAATACCCCCCGCTCAGTGGCCCTTTCCCCGAATTCTGCATGGCACCACTTTCGACTGCAATTACCTTCAGATCAAGGCGATCACCAACACGGAGCAAGGGAGGGCGGGGCCTTGGATATAGAAAATCGTGGGCTTGGAATGTGCGTTATCTAATGTGTTCTTCACGCTGGGGCTGACGATGTTCCGCGTATTCAAGATCCATTTTTCTTCTTCCTTCTCTCGCAAATGTCTCGCCCGCCAAACATGACCACAAAACTGTTGGGCTTCTCGTTTGCTTTACCTTGAAATGACGAGGAGAGAGAGAGGCCGCGAGACCAGCCCCTGCTCTTCAAGTTGTTCACGGTTGTGTCTTCGACGGCTGTCTCGCCACCGCCCGCTGGACCTTCCCATCCCATCCCCGAAACTGTTGTACTCCTCTTCAATGGCGCATCCTGCGGCTCTATCGACTGGATCTAAGGCTGCCGCCATACCCACACATGGTGTCTATCTACTTTGGCCCATGGTACTGGGGTGTAAGGGCTCCGCCCGATGCATTTTCATTCGCGAGTGGACTTGATCGCGAGCGTGGTCGCGAAGCTGGAAATCTACTGGGGCACGGAAAGGAGGGGAGCTGGTTGCGGAGGGGGCGCTGATTGATCAAGTGAGTATGTCGTCGTCCTTGAAGCGGTTTTAGATGAGGCTCCAATTGCTTCCAATCCCACTACCGATACTATACTATATCGTATTCTCCCTCCACCTGCTCTGCTGTTACCCATTTCCATGCCCTCTGCTGTTCTCGTCATCTCCATTCTACTCATCGTTAAAATCTACCATTGTTATCTTTACACCCTCTGCTTCATTGGAGTCTGGAATCCGTCCATCCGTGTACTGCAATGTGCTCCCCCGGCCTTGCTTCTCATCCCCAATCCTACTTCCGACAACCAAAAGCACACAAGCTTCCTCTGCGGCGCTCCTTTCATGTCACTTCAGAGGTATTGCGTGTGGAGGAGGTGTCACGAGGTGATCTTGGGTTGGTGAAGGTATGGGAAGATGAGCACGGGGGACTTTGAAAGGCGGCTGTCAATGCCGAGGACATTCGCCTCACGACTTCCTCCCCGTTTACCGCTGCTGGTGGTCTAATTAAAGACAGACGACATCTCACACGCAACCTATGGAGACCCTCAACGCCTTCCTTCGCCCGCACGGCATCGCGCTGCGCTACCTCGACGAGCGCTCGCCGCCCGCGCTCTCTGCAGTAAAGCAAGCCTTGCTCAACCCCGCGCTACTCGGATATCTCATCACGCCGGGGATGGACCGCAACAAGCTGGCGAAGGGCATGTGGGAGCGGCTGAGGGTGTTTGGCTCGCGCGTGCGCGGCACGGACAAGCGGTGGGACGAGGCAGAGGAGTGAGTTCTTTGGGCTGCTTGCGCCGAGCTCGTTCTGACCCCTTGAAGACAGGGCCTTATAGACGTCGACAAGACCATCGCGCTGGGCACGGCGTATTGCCGCAGCAAGAATAGGCCTCTCACGGTGGAAGGCATCCTGGAGGTGTATCGGTATCGGTTGGCGCTGGTCGAGCGGGGCCCTATTGTGGAGCCGTCTGACGCTAACGTGGCGAATTTTGAATCCAAGTAGACTTTGTGTACTGGAGAGCGGCGCAATACTTGACGCCCTCAGCTTGTAACACGGTATTTAACGACAGACGAGTTCATTGCAGTTCGTTGATCAATATTGTTGCATATATAAGGGCCGCTCTTTGTTCTGCGGTATGAACACATGCAAGAATATCTAACCCTTGAAAAATATGAGCGAAACGATTGGTCTGGGCGCAGAAACTCACGCGCCGTGGTCCACAGACCCCACACAATATGCCTTCTGCCGAACGACAAACGCGGCTCGCTGTCTAAATTCTAATCCGCTATCCATTCTCGTTGACATACACCGCCCATGCGCGCGCGCTGCCTCTTATCCTCGCTGACCGCGCAGATTCTATCGACAGAGACATGTCCGACGAGGGTCTTCCGCTCTCAGATACGATGGGCAAAAGAGGGCGGCACAACTCACCTGACACGTCAACGTCCAGGTAGGTGCTGCGACTCACCTGTAGCCAGGTTTTACTCTCGCACTCGATACCCCAACAGCTATTCACATTCGCCATGGCGGGTCCCCGCAGTCAAGAGCCATGCCGTCTACGAAAACACGTCAGCGAAGGGTTTGGCAGCTGGCGGGACAGACAAGAGCGGTAAGCAGCAAGCATGTCTGCCAGAGGCCGAGTGCGCAGGCGTGGACAAGTATTGTCGCGCAATGGCCCGGGGGAGTGAGGAGAAAGAGTTGGTTCCCGTCGTTGTTTGTCGTTGTGGAAAAGAAGGATGATGATCTGGGGCCGACGTGTGATCTCCGTCTTTGGTTCTTCTCCACCACCGCGATCCGCGTCTCGAGCGCGACCTCCCCGTGCTTGAGGAGACGCGTCAGAGGGCACTCCGCGTTATATACCACCAGATTGCGAGGCCCATGGGAACGAGAGCAACTCGGAGCTTCTGTTATGCAGATATGTCGTGACTTGTCCCACAACTTAACCTCGAATCGTTAGTCCGCAGAGCCGCCATTCCTGCCTTCGCACCAGCACTAGATGGCGCAGGTGTCGACGTAAAAGAGAGGGAGGCGAATGATTGGGATATCAACCGGATGGGGAAGCGATAACCTGTTTGGCCGTTTTGAGAGCTAGATTCTAGAAGAAGTCTTCAAGAAGAAGCTTTAGACAGCGGAAGAAGGACAAGAAGTAAGCATGTATCGCACCTTATAAAGTTCATCCATCCAGTAAACAGAGCCATCGGGCCAGCCGAAGTCGATTCACATGCGCTCTAGAGCTTGACGCTGACATGGGCCCGTGTCCAGGAAAAGCGAATGAGACTGGTGGTTTTGTGCCAAGCGACCGATTTTGAGCGGCAACTGGAGATACGCGCCATAGACACCGATAAATGACCGTCCCATACTGCAGACGCGGCTGAGCTCTTTAAGTTGCGAGAGCATACGCTAGTGCCGTTGGAGGATGCGATTTCAGCATCATCGAGCAGGCAACGGCCTGCTCAAGTATACCCTGTGCTGACGAAGAGCCTATGTCAGAGACGACATCAAGCAGAAGCGTCTAAGTTCACGCACCTGGTATACTGGCGCCAGGCGGGACAGCTTCTCCCCCAAACGTTGCGCCGCCTCCCCAACATTCTCCACTGCACTACTCCGCATGCGGCAATGTCGAGCACCGGGCTACTCCGCCTCGATTGTGTGTTCGTTCAGGCGACAAGTACGGGGGCAGGCTTGAAAAACCGCAGGACCGAGAGGCATCAGGCGCCTTGAGAACGAGTCAGTTGGCTGTATGGTGGGAGAAGCGAGAACGGCGACAGGATTCGTCTGGGCAAGAACGAGCAAGCAGGTCAGCACGAGAAGATGCACTACTCTCGGCCACGCACCTCGCTATTAGCAAACAAACAAGCCATGGATAGCCTCCCGAGGGTGTTTGGCGCGCGAGGGGGAAGTGGTCGTGGTGGAGAGGAAAGGAAGATCGGTCCGAGCATGTGAGCATGTGATCTCGGATTTTCTTCTCCTCCCTCCACCACGACGACCCACATAACGGCTTCTCCTCCGCTGGGCCACCTCATCGGCGAGCGCGCGAGTCATCTGGTTTGGGCCGAGCACTCTCCGCGGCCGCCGTTGTGCCCGACTTCGAGAATCGTCCCAGCCATTGGGAGACCGAGGCCCAGCCCGTGCGACCGTGCCAAGGAGCGTGCGTCGGGGAAGCGAGGGCTTGACGAGGTAGAAGCCGCCGCTATGGCTGGTTAGCAGGAAGGTGCGCTCTCCCGTCTTTTCGGCGCTTTGAGTTGCTGACTTGTCTTGTGTAGCTTCACGGGCAAACGGACACGAGAATCGCAGGATTCTCCTTCAGCGCTGAACAGCACATACCGGAACCGTAGGCAGCTATAAGTTATACAAGCGGGTATGTCCTACTTTTCGTGTACTTTTGCACTGACCCCTTCCTTCCAGATCGTCTTCCCTTACAATCGCTGGTATGAGCGACTGCGTCTGGGGTGGCGCCGAACGAGAGCCTCCCAGGGCATTTTGCTCTCGCAGGACGAGGAGGGCATCATTGAAGGTATGTAACCACTACTCAAGTTTTTTCTGTGCATTTACTGAGTCGGCCTGGCAGACACTCGCTTGAGGTCCTCCGCACACATTCGTCGAGAATGCCGCAGACAGGATATGGGAAGACTAGGACTGGCGCGCGGGATATGCACGACTTCAAAACGTGCGTCGAGCACCATTTCTACATAGGACATGTTTCTAATGCTTTCCGCAATCCATCTAGCTGCTATATTCCCCGTTCCTTCTCTCTCTGCACACCTCCTTAATCCTATCGAGCATGTACCACCCGTTTCCTTCACCCAATACGTGGTCCTTTCCCGAATTCTCCAATGTCGATGGCACCACTTGCGACCGACGTCTTACCTTCGCTTTCTCGTCCGTGAAGATGCTGGAGCTCCTGGTTTGCATTGCCGCTCGAATTGGAACGCCGCCGCAAGATCATATGCTGCTTTGCGCTTCACGGTCGTGTCTTCGACGAGCTTCCATGTCGGCGGCCTCCCCATGTCCGCAAGACCTTTAAATCAGCCGGGTCTTCCAACCCATTATCCAATATTGTCTCCGTATGCCCAGCGCGCCGCCATCCTCTCCCTTTCCCGGCATGGCACGTGCCGTCACGCGTGACCCGTCACTCGATTTGACGACACGATACTACTCTTTAATGGCGCATCCTGTGGCGCTATCGACCCGATCTCGTGCTGCTACGATACCTATATATGGTGTCCATTTCTTTTGGCCCGTGCTAGTGGGGTGGAAGGCCTCTGCTCGACACGTTTTTGCGTGCGAGTGGACTTCGGCGTGGGCGTGGTCGCAAAGGTGGAAATTTGCTGGGGCACGGAAAGGAGGGGATGTAGTTGTGGAGGGGTGTATATGGATGGGTTATGGTACTCTTAGCGCCGCAGTCTGATGCTTGAGCCCTGCTCTCGTTTTCTATGGCGACTATCCTGCCAGTGTGCCAGTGCTAGAGGTCAATGATGCATGACGCCCTTATACACCGAAGCTGTGTAAGCACTACGATTTTACGACAATGCGCGTTGACTTCGTTACCGGCCCACCTTGCACTGGCACGCCCAGGCCGCTCCACGAGACTCGCCGACTCGACAGCGCAGATCCGTTGGGGTATTTCGGCGCGG